ACAGGAAGAGTAAGTGAGTGAGTTTAGTTTTACGCTGCACTCAGCAATATTCCAGCGATACGGCAGCAGTCTGTAAATATTAGAGTCTGAACAAGACAATCCAGTAATCAACAGCATGAGCATCGATCTACGCAATTGGGAACTGATGACAACCATCCTGACCACCTGATCCCGTTAGTCACCTCTTACGACAAGCATGGGTTACTGAAGACCAATTCTAACCCGGATCTTCATGGGTTATAAACAGGAAGAGAAACTGTATGACACCAGGTGTTACAGCCACCTAGTCTCGTCACACAAAGGTAAGCCAATGAACTGTTGGATCGCAGGTGTTTCAATAATCATCTACTGATGGAAACGACTACTTAGGAACATTCCTCTCTGACAATGTCTACTATGAGAGGAACAACTATGTCTATGTCTACTATGAGAAAAAATATTTGTCATATTCTTACTCAGATAAAATGATAAAATATGCAAAATTAAAACTATTACCTTGAGAACCGAACCAGCTAGATGGGTTTATCTCACAACACATCAACAATTTTGTACCAAATTCATTTTATATGCAATTATATATTCTGAAAGTTTACTGTTTGTGAAAACAAAATGATTACAACAAAACCAAAAGTAAACACACCCAAATTTTTTTTTTCTAAAACAGCTAACCCAGTTAGTTGTGCTCATGCATAGATAAAAAATACATGTTACTGTGCTAAATTATACTGTACAAATGCAATAAAATTGACATGTGAAAGCAAAAATATAACACAAAAATCATTTCAACTGCTAAGACCTGCATCTGGAGTGAAAATAGAATCAAATCTTTGAAGGGCATTTAGAAGTAGAATGCATAAGAAAAGCAAGATTTATGGATGTCAACTTCTTCTTTATTGTGAATAACACGACATTTCGGAGTACCAGGGTATTTCCGTTAACTTTCGTGTCGCAGGAAATCAATAAAGTGGTGCAAGCCAGGGGTTTTAGATACACTGATTAATTCAGAACACATACAAAGATCCATGTAGGAAATACCATGAGACAAGCTGTCAAGTACATTCCAATGCTCTGGCTAATATGAGAGAGGAAGAGATAGCCAAAGTTTACTTCCCGTCCTGGTTGGCCTCAGAACTGGCATTCAATCAAATATGCAAGAAGTTGATACAAAATGCCAACTGCACTTTTGTACTTCCACAACTCACACCTCAGCATTTTCAGTTTGTTTTTGTTTTTCCAGTTTTTGTCACAGATAAGAATATGTATTTTTATAGATCATTATATGAAGCATTTATTGATATTTTTTTCCATTAGTATGCATACAAAGCAATATCCCCCATCCATGATTACCTGTTCTTTTATATAACAATGGGCTTATATTTCACATTTTGCAATTACCCTGTTTAACAGGAAGTTATATGGAGCCTATCCTATCAAATTAATCAAAGTTTACAGCTAGCCAAATTTTAGTTTATTTTTTCATATATAGAAAAAGAGATTGTAGTAACTGGAACTAAAAAAAGAATAAACAACACATTTTGTGCAGAACCCACATCACTAGAGAACTACAGGTGAAATAATGTTATAAAACATGACACAAAGGCATCTTGAGACAGAGCAATTCACACTGTTGTGACAGGCACTGTGTGGAATGGTGAACAAAATATCACATATAATGAGGACTCGTATATGTAAAACATATTCTAAACTGGCATACAGCTGTTTCTAGTTCAAGGAATCTTTCATGAACAACCAACAAATCTATGACAAATCTAATGTTGCAGGAAATGGTGAGCAACAAAACACCCTAGGTTGCATCTGGGATTCAAACTCAGGATCATAGGATTCTGGACACACATGGGAGGCAACTCTGCAATAAAAGGTGTTATGTTCTTACTCTGCACCATCAAGTTTATAAGTCCTAAAATGATGTGAACTAACACCATTTCAAATATAATTCTCAATACTTCAGTCAATAAGTTCATTCAAATTTGAGCAATTTTTTGTAAGAAGATAACCAAGCCATTGAGGCATAAGTATCTTCCAGCACCTTCTACCCCCCGTAAATTAATATAGATGCAGCCTGAAGAGTTCAATAATGAGATCAAATAAGACACATACTACAACCAGCCATCATGTATTCCGTGTATATTGTGATACAAAGGACATTTGTTATATATACAATGTATTTGTACAAATCACTCAGAAAAAAATGTCTAAACAGGACAGTCTCAACAAACTTAACACAATACACATACTACAATCAGAAATATAATCATAATCATGTTATTATCTAGTAACTATTCAATTATCAATTTAAGAAATAACACATTCTGCTTATGGCACACAAATACTGCACAGAAATATCATCATAATGCATTTCATAACTTCCACCTTCCAATTAATAAACAAGGTGTGTGTGGATTTCTGAAACATAGCTACCTGAGTTAGCTACCTGAACTTAAGTTACTGAAACATCACCAAAGGTATTTCTTATAAGTGACCTGATCAAGTGCCTGCAACTGTAACGCAGAAATACTGGACAAAGACTTTGGGGATTACTGATCAAAATGTGAAAGTTCATCACTACAGACATTACCATCACAAATACACATACTTATAATACAAGACATATGGTATTTGGAGAGTGAATAAGTGAGTTTAGTTTTACACTGCTTTTAGCAATATTTCTGCAATATCACAGCGGGGGACACCGGAAATGGGCTTCACACCGGGTCTTTGGCGTGACGAGCGAGCACTTTAACCACTAGGCTACCCTCCGCCCTTGGTATTTGAAGAAGCACTTTTCAAGTCTCTATGTACACTGTCCCTGGCTGAACGTTTGCAGTGAGATGCAGTCATAAGCTCAAAAGATATCATTTCAAGGCAAACATATATAGATGTAAATCATCACTTTAAGGACACTGATTACATATAAGGGCAGTAAATACAACTACAAAAATAGACTGATACTGATGAAATATTTTTTTCAGGTTTAAATTACTTAACCATGTTTACTGTTTGTGTTGGAAATTATTTCATTTGAAGTGGTTCAAATAACATTTACAATTTCAGGGCCTTTTTGAAGCTAATCATAGATTTTAATACTTATTAAGGTCCATCTTAAAAAGAGCATACCACTGACTGCATTTATGGTGGATGCTGTGAGTTGGGTTTGATATTGGTTTGGACAGTGTTCCATTACATGTTGGAGGAAAGTCTGCAGTAATACAGGCCTTAAACCCACAGGCTTATGCTTAACCTGAAAAACTATTCAGGACACACCATGATCTAAACCCACAATCATAGGTTGCCGGAAAGCCCTATCAAAACAGCTCCTCACAGCAAATTGTAGTGCCTTACACAGGGGTTTGTAGTGGAAATAATCAAACACAGGGTCTTCCTACTAAGTATATGCACTCTGACATAGTACTGATGAGACCCAGTCAGTGACAATATATACATTAATGCTTTTTCTTTGTGTTACAGCCTAGACAAAAGGGTCATACATACTTGAAGCTTGTGAAATGATACATGTTCATACATAAAGTAGAAGAAGGCAGATAACAAAATATTAATGCTTACATAGAAGGGTGCTCACATTAGGACAATGCTAGCTGTGAAGTCATTATCATCCTCCAACCTTTCAGCCATCTCTGCATTAAGATCATTCTACTTTAAACTTAAGACATTTTACGAGTGTACAATGGACAATGCAGGTCCTATGTCTCTCATCTCTTAACTACATTGATTCATTAATTTTTTTATCAGGTTTCTGATACCAATCTCAGCAAAGTTTCATTTAATTGAAGACTCATGTTGATGTTCAGCCTCGAGGGTTCAGTAGTGCCCCTACTTGTCTCCCTTGGTGCAATGCTATCAGCAACGTTAGGGCAAGTCACGTGATATTCTGGTCACAGTCAAGTGATGTGAAGGGTACAGTCACGTCACTACAGTCATCTGCTTTTAAAGGCCTTTTTATGCTGGTGACAACCATGTAATATGCAAGCTACTGAGTGCAATACTGGTCAAAGTCACATGCTGTGAAAGCTACAATAACGTGCTTATGCTGCCACTAACACATGCTCTACTGGCTACTGTCAGGTGTTAAGCTGGCCAAAGTCATGTGTTATGTCTAACACTGCTATGTGCCCACAAAGGGACAGCACCAAGAGCCACAATGTTCCATGGCAAAAGTGCCACAGTTAGTGCCATGTGTTAAACTTACACCTGTCTCTGTGTAATAAGGATACTGTTTAACTGTTACACTGTTGTATCTACTTCAATGTAACAAATTAAAGAATATTTTTTAATCTGAAAAATATTGTATTATTAGACATACAAAGTGTTTTGGAAGAGTTCAAGCAATCTTGATATGACTGCAAACTAACTCAAAGCTAGCCCTCTCAAGTCTAGACCTCTCTTTAAAAACAAAATGGATTCAAACAGTATTACTTTGGTTATCTTCCATTCCACAACTTGTCATGATGGCTAAAAGGTCCTTCAAGACAAGTGTCCATCATCCTTAGTTTTAAATCAAACCAAAATCTTCCTAGCTTCATGCCATAAACTCGAGGAACTTACAAAGCATCGAGGTCATGGTATGATCGTGAAAACAAAGAAATGCTTTTGACATATATTGAAGTTTATATAAAATATTATAGGAAGTATAGACTTTATATCTACCAATCATAACACAAACAGGCCAGGTCAAACTGTTAGCCTTTAGTCCATTGCTAATAGTGCAATGTGAACAGATGGTAGCCTCTGCTTGGTTCTACAGATGGACTGGTGGTGGTGACTTCAGACTTCAAAGACTACTAACAAAAGAGCTCATCAATGGTGAAAACCTCATTGAACATGTTGACTCATGTCGGGAAAGGGACATGTAAATATGCAATAGACGTAGCAGGATGAGACTGAGGTGTCACTCAACACAGAAGCGAACCTTTCACAATCCTGTTTCTTGTCATGCTTCTCTTAAAAAGAACAAAAATCTTTCATGTTCATGAAATATTTTATTGTCCGACCTGGGACATTACTAGCCTGAATAGTGTCAACACATAGGAATACCCCTGAAATGTTCGCAAGTCCATTGTTCTCTACTCACAATAAAGACACTTTTAACATTAACAAAGTTGGTCTGGGGCAGTGGGCATAATTCCACCATGGCCAACGTGAAATGGGTCGTGAAATACACAAATTATATTTCGCCTTATCACATATTAGGGACCATTCATAATTTATGGCAGGGGAGGGGTGGGTTGATGATGATGATTTATGCAGAAGCATGTACAATATGAATGACCCCCACTAAAATTTCATTACAAAGTGACACCCCCCACCCCCTGCATCTCATGTACAAAATCAATGACCCCACCCGCCCCCTTCCCAAAAGTTTTAAGCATAATTTCTTTATATTTTTATGTACAAAATTGCTGAGCCCCCCGCAGTACATGTGGGCAAAATTGCTGACCCCCCTACCTCCGCAGAATAAAAATGGGTGACCTCCCCTTAAAATCATCATCATCCCCCTCCCCCAACAGTCCCTATGTCAACATGTTCAATGACATCAAAAATATACTTTAACACCTGCAAACGTTTCCTTATTTTCTTTATCCACCATCAGCTTGACAGGCATTGAACTGTTTTGGATTCAATCAGAAAGACAACTTCCATTTCCATATTCAATTACATGGTGGGAAATATAAATCTTTCGTCAACATCGAGGTTATACAAGGTATCTGTTTTTTCCTATTCATGAATTCCTTGCTTGCATTTGACTCGAAGTCATACGCTACAAGTTTGTTCACTCGAGTCATCATTGTCATGACGTCCATTTTTTCCGCATACTTTTCCAGAACAACACACAAGGCCTGGATGAACCAGGAACCCCGGGATGAGTTCCGCCACGAGAAATACCCTGCAAGTGAAATGGAAAAATATATATGTATTTTACAAGAGATATCATTGGTTGGTTTGGGGTGATGCTGGGAATGGGTACTTAACTAAATAGGGGCGTTGGGGTAGCCTAGTGGTTAAAGCATAGGCTCATAATGCTGAAGACCTGGGTTTGATTCCCCACAAGGGTACAATGTGTGTAGTCCATTTCTGGTGTCCACCACTGTGATATTGTTGGATGCTGAACGTGGTGTAAAACCATACTCCCTCACTTAACTAAATAGAATGAGTGAGTGAATATGCTTTTACGCCGCTTTTAGCAATATTCCAGCAATATCACGGCAGGGAACACCAGAAATGGGCTTCACACTCCAGCCCTGAAATGGGCTCCATACATTGTACCCCATAGAAAGGTGATACACTGGAAAATGAAAATTATGAGCCCCAAATACTTCAGTATTTATAATTAGGGTAGGGACTCCTTCGGGATATTGATTAGTTTTGACCAAAGCTGTTTCAGGAGTGTAAGATGTGGTTCAAAGCTGCACCACTACCAGCTACCCACCTGGGACGACAGAGTACGCCATGAGGAAGTCTGCCTCTGTGGGGATCCTGTAGGTGACGGGGGCCATCTCAACATCATCGTCTCCATCTCCCTTTGTTCCTAGAGCATCGCTGACATCAACACCTTCATCTAGGCCTTGTCCTCTACATGCCTGAAATCATGATCAAAGTAGAAGCTGATATCAACACCTTCATCTAGGCCTTGTCCTCTACATGCCTGAAATCATGATCAAAGTTGAAGCTGACATCAACACCTTCATCTAGGCCTTGTCCTCTACATGCCTGAAATCATGATCAAAGTGGAAGCTGACATCAACACCTTCATCTAGGCCTTGTCCTCTACATGAAATCAAATGACATCAACCCCTTCATCTAGGCCTTGTCCTCTACATGCCTGAAATCATGATCAATCAGTGGAAGCTGACATCAACACCTTCAGCTAGGCCTTGTCCTCTACATGCCTGAAATCATGATCAAAGTAGAAGCTGAAATCAAATCACCCCAGGTCAAACTGAAGTTATGTGAACTCGGCTGATATGGAAATTACACCATCCTGTTGAAGCTGAAAATTATGCAAACTCAGCTGAAGAGGAAAACACACCACCACACTTGAAGCTGAATCGATATCACTGCAGCTCAACAGGGCTGCAACAATTCACCCAACACCGATTCGATTCTCGATATTGGACCCTCCATTCGATCATTATATTTTTGATTTTCCATACAAGTAAAAATATCAGATTTCATATAGTCAGTAAATAAACAAGTTTTTTTTTCCGTGAAATCCACCACACGTCAACTTGGCTATGTCTACGAACAACAATTCTCACTGGATAATTAGCCCGGCATCAAATCACGGTTCGCCTTATTTCAACTCGCGAAACTGCTCAGTTTGAGTTGGAATCAAAACTACGTTCTGGCTGTGTGGAAATAATTTAAATAGGTATTCAAATATCGAATCGAAATAGTGATAATGGTTATCGAAAATCAAAACTAAGGTGTCAGATCCGATTTTTGATAAATCAAACCGAATCGTTGCAGCCCTACAGTTCAATAGAAAACAATTTCATCATTTCTGGAGCGGAAGTCTGTTCACTACAGCAGGTAATAACCTTGCTGCACCAGACATAACTAGGCTGCACCAGACATAATGCTTAGGCTGCACCACACATAACTAGGTCTGCACCACACATGAAAACCGCTCGGGCTGCACCAGACATAACTCAAGGCTGCACCACATACAATAATAGGTTGCACCAGCATACGCGGTAGGCTTTGGTTTATTTATTTTCTGATATCTGCTCAACATATGACAGTAAATAAACTGTTTATATACATTTGTCATGCTTAACATACATACTAACATTGATATCAGTTGCGCCGATATCCAGCTCAGCTGCTCAAAGGCGCTTTGTTTTTCCCTCGATCACTGGATGTCAATCTCAACGGCATGTCGTATTATCAATCTCAACTCCCTGGGGATCATACAACTCTTGCAGCCACTAGGCGCACCGAGATAGTGTGGCTTTCCCATCTTTATGAAGTACCCATTAACAGCTGGGTGGACTGGGACACATGGTCTCAGTACTTTGTCCAAGTTTACTGCACGTTGCTGTACCTGCAACTAGGTGTTTGCACGTATTCATGTGGCCACCATCTGGTCATATACCAATGGATTTGTGGGATCTTTTAAGTGCACAGGGTTGTGGACTGTACTGTGACAACACTGAAAGAGTCTGCAAACAAAGTTGATTCCAAGGTTTTTACACCCGGTCACAGGTGGGCTTGATCCTGTCACCTCAAGCTTGCTGGATCACTAGCCTGGCGCTTTAGCCAGTTTGCCCACCACGCTTAAGTTTGGGTGTTGATGATTTAGAATATCATCATAACAATAATATTCTTGGTCTGGTAAGATCATTATATCATATTTCATAACATTTCATTAACAGTAACAGTCATTCAGTCACTGTGTAGTCATCAGAATCACTGCTCCATGCAGTTCCCTTATATGTTTTCAAGCTGAAGTCTGTGTTCTTTGAACAGTATAATATTAACACGCACTGGGTGCAACTTGGTATAAACAAGGGGCTGTATTTTGCAAAAATCGAGCTCTGCTGAGAGATATAGGTCTTCAACAGTTGGCTGAAACCACAAGCGCAGGTATGGTACTGATATTCTAGAAACATTATCAGTCCGAACCAGTATTCAAACTCAAGTAGGGTGGTGGGGTAGCCCAGTGGTTAAAGTGTTTGGTCGCGACGCCAAAGGCCTGGGTTCGATTCCCCACATGGGTACAATGTGTGAAGCCCATTTCTGGATGTACCCCACTGTGATATTGCTTGAATATTGCTAAAAGCGGCATAAACCAAACTCACTCACTCACTCAAACTCAAGCACATGTTGATATCGTGAGTGAGTATGGTTGTACGCTTTTAGCAGTATTTCAGCAATATCATGGCAGGGTAACAAGAAATGGGCTTCACACATTGCACCCACGTCTTCGGCATGACACTTCAACCATCAGGCTTCCCCACCGCCCCCATGTTGATCATGTTACTCTGGCTGACTAGGCTACCTGTGCATGTATCAAATTTGGATTCACTGTAATGCTAAAAATTCATATTGAAATAGTTGATTTACCTGTATGAAGAACAGTTTAGGTTTGCCTGCAAGTGACAGGCATCTATGTCCCTTGAATGGGTCTACAAGGTCCTTGATTTCAATGGGTCCATTTGTACCATAGACAGCCCCCTCCTCTCCATGAGACAGGATGACACAGGCGAAGCAGTCGCTGTTAGAGTAGTCTTGACTGGCGGCTGTCACAGTAAATACACTTTGTTTAACAACACCTGACAGGTTTGATCCCAGGACGATCAGCAGATGAACAGAGCTGTATCTATATTCAGGCTGTACACATTCGATCAGGCGACAAGAAAAATAGTACCACATACAGGACATAAACATGAATACATGACACCTGTTATAGATAACTTCTTTTTATCCTTCATGTTCTCCATAAAAGGTGTCATGTACTTGTGAAGTGAGTGAGTGAGTTTAGTTTTATGCCGCACTCAGCAATATTCCAGCTATATGGCAGCGGTCTGTAAATAATTGAGTCTGAACAAACACTCCTGTGATCAACAGCAAGATCGTCAATCTACGCAATAGGATATGATGACACGTGTCAACCAAGTCAGCAAGTCTGACCACCCAATCCCGTTTGACGCCTCTTACGACAAGCATGGGTTACTGAAGACCAATTTTAACCCAGATCTTCATGGGTTCCAAATACCTTTCAAGAACTCCATAGGACTTTTAACTCACAGGTCTGTCACCCTCATCCAAAGCTGTTTGTTTAGTAAAGATCTGTTTGGCCTAGTAAGTCCAATTAAATTAGTTCAAATATTAACAGAAAACTGTAAATAATGCTTACAAACTACTGTATTTGGGGCTAGGACTCAACATTAATTTGGGCAGACTCAATAATGTAATTTTCTGAATAAAATTGATATTTTATACTTATCCTGACTCATGCTTATTTGCTTGTCTTCTTCCTCTTGTGAACATAGTGGAACACTTGTATCTCCTTATTGAAGCTCCCTTCAATAAAACGTACATAAAATCACTACTCACCAAAGTTATCCCTGTTTCCGGTTTTGACGGGAAAAGTGGCGCCACTGTTTTCCCACACTTCACTCTCTCCTGATAATGAGCCCGACACTTGAATTTGCAGGGAAATCCAAAGTGTCTAGTGGGGAGGTTGGGAGGGCTTACCTCATGAGTCAGGATAAGTATAAAATATCAATTTTATTCAGAAAATTACATATTTTTCCTTATCCTGACTCATGCTTATTTGCTTGTAGAATCCGAAGGATTTGGAGGCGGAAAAAACTTTAGGATTTCGTCGTAGTAGTGATTTACGTCAATATATACCCCTATGGGAACCATTATTGGCACTGTGCTAATCTCTGCTGCTGTTTATGACCCTGTCCTTTCAGCTGCTTTTTGATTGTTAACTTTTGGTCCTTTCTTCTGTTAACATTTTTATGTGGATTTTGCGACTCCATTTCTTGATGCAAGCATCAAGTGTAGAAGCGACCCTTTCCTATACGAGTATTCTTACAAGTACTGGTTCATATCACTTATGCTAGTCGTTAGACGTGCATTTCGACTTAAGCAGAACTCTGCTGAGTGTAGGCTTGGTAAGTCATGTGATAAAAGAGCGAGAGTTCGTCTCAGCGTCTTTGAGGAACTGTCAATTGTTGTGCGACAACCAGTGGGCCGAAATGGTGAATGCCTGAGACGTCCTCGGTGGCGATATCTCTCAAGTAGTGGTTTGCAAACACCATGTCTGATTTCCAGAAGCAGCCCTCCATTATCGTCTGTAACGAGCAATTCCCATGTAGAGCGAGTGTTGACGCCAGAGCTCTAACTTTGTGTGGGTTGGAGGCTCTTGGAGGATCAAGTCCTGCTGCCTTGTAGGCCCAGAGTATGACAGTTCTGATCCAGATTGATATCAGAGTGCGGGAGACCTCCGTCTGTGTCGCTGTCGATATTGGGACGAAAAGTCGCTTGGACTTGCGTCTCCTAGTTCTGGATCGTTGTAGATATATTTTCAATGCTCTCACTGGGCACAAAGATAAGTCATGCGTATCTTGTGGTCCGAGGACGGAGGATAATGCTGGGACGTGGAACTGTCTGTCCGGTTGACTTGGCAGTTGATTCTTTGCGATGAAATCCCATCGTAGTCCCATATGCACTGTGTTTTGATTTTCATCAAAACGTGTTCTCTCGTAGTCTAGAGCATGTATTTCCGACATCCTGGCTGCTGTTGCTAGGGATAGCAGGAACAGTGTCTTTTGTGTCAAGAATTCGAAGGATGTCGTCTCTAATGGTTCGTAGACGTCACTGGTGAGATGTCGTAGAACAACGTTGAGGTCCCACGCCGGAGCTTTGAATCTCTGTTGTTGGTCCTCCAATTTATAAGAGCGTAGTAAGGCCAGTAACTCTGCTACTTTCGTTAGCTTGGCACCTGTCCTCATAGTAATGACTGAGCTCAATGCCGCTAGGTATGTTGAGAGTGTAGACCCTTTTAACCGCTTTGTTTGCCGTAGGTGACAAAGGTAGTCCGCCACTTGAGGTTGTGTTGCTTTTCTGGCTGAAAAACCTTTTCTTGCCGCGTATGTCTCGAAGCTTCGCCACTTGTCGTCGTACAAGTTGCGTGTAGACTTGCGTAAAGCTAGTGTCACTGCTTTCGCTGCTCTGGCGGAGTACCCTCTCTTGTTCAAGCACCCCTTGATACAGTCCACACGTGTAGTTGGAATGTCCCTGGGTTGCCGTGCGCCTGCTTTGTGTGAGGATGTACGAGTAGATTCGACCACTCTGGTAGTCCTAGTTCTTGTATGAGAATGGGGAACCACATTCTCGCTGGCCAGTAGGGCGCGACCAAAATCAGTTGGAGGTTCCTGGTCTGGCTGATTTTCTGCAATACCCTCGGTAGTAGCGCTGGCGGTGGAAACGCGTATGCGTTTAGTCCTTCCCAGGATATGCTGAGAGCGTCCGTTGCCCACGCTCGTGGATCTGGTACTGGAGAGACGAATGTTGTCAGCTGATTGTTGAAACGTGTGGCGAAGAGGTCTATCAGTGGGGCTCCTATCTCCTTGATGATCTGTTTGAAGATCTCGGGATGTAGCATCCATTCCGTCGGACATGGTTGAGTTGGACGGGAGAGTGCGTCTGCTATGACATTCTTGGCTCCTGGAATGTGGCATGCTCTTATGTGGATGTTCAGATCGTCGATTAGGTCGAACAGTTGAAAGCAGAGGTCCAGCAGGTTCAATGATCGTGTTGATCCTTGCTTGTTTATGTAGAACGCCACTGTGGAGTTGTCCGTGTGTACCATGAGATGAGCATTCTGTAGAATGTTGCTCCAATGGAGTATGGCGTTGACGACTGCTTGCATTTCCAGCATGTTGATGTGCAGACTTTTCTCTTCCTTGGTCCATTTCCCGGCTGCCACATCGTTGTCGAGATGTGCTCCCCAACCTTGGAGTGACGCGTCCACATACAGATGAGTCTTGCACTCCGGCTCTGCTAGATAGATGCCTTCGCAGACATTCACTCTCTGGGTCCACCATAGTAGATGAGGTCTGAGGTAGTCCGGGAGACCGAAGGGGTCTGGGTCGTCGAGATGAGCATTGATGAGGACCTGTAGCGGGCGTAGCTGTAATCTCCCTCTGGCTGTCATGTCTTGTGCAGACGTGAGGAGACCCAACAGACTCTGCCACTGTCGTAGTGGCCACGGAGAGAGTAGGGCTTGTGGGATTGTCTGTTGAATCTTGAGCCATCGGTCCTCTGGTACGACGACGCGGTTCTGCGGTTCTGAAATCTGATGCCTAAGAACTGCAGGTCCTGCGTAGGTTCTATGTCCAAATGAGTAGATTCACTAACCACCCCAGCTGTGTAAGCAGTTTGATGGTAAAGTTCAACTGTAGTCTGAGATGCTTGGGATCTTGATGTACTTGAATCCTGTCGTCGAGGTAAAAGGCACTGTGTAGACCTCGATGATGTAGATATATGACTATGGGTTTCATCACCCTTGTAAACAACCAGGGGCCGATGATATTCCAAATGGCAGGACCTTCCATTGGTAATGTAGCCCGTCCAGTGTAAACCTGAGGTACTTCCTCGTGTCTGGATGTACAGGAATATGCAGGTAGGCGTCCTGTAGATCTATGCTGGCCATGTAGTCCATCGGACGGACGAGGTGGATTAGTTGAGGTAGATGTATCATGCGGAACTTGGGAGGTCTGCTCAGATAGTCTCTGTTGAACGTGCTCATATTGTAGATGAGTCGGAACTTTCTTTGGAGTTTTTCTTGGGCACTAAGAAAACTGGGGATTAGAAACCTGGCGTGATGTTGGTTTGATCTACGACATCTATGGCTCGCTTTACTAGTAGAGATGAGACCGCCTCTCGTAACTTCTCTATCTGATGAGTCTTGAAGTCGAACTTGTGAGGGTCGACTGTAAGCGGTGGAGCGGCCTGTAGTTGTATGCGATATCCGTCTCTTAGGATGTTGGATACAAACGGATCTGAAGTATTCCCCAGTTTTCCCAGTGTAGCTGAAGGCATCCACCCACTTGTGAAGGTTGTACAGGAACGGCTGGGGGTGGAAGACTCCAGTCGTTCCGAACCCTTCTTTCATCGTTGATAATCCTTGGCCCCTCTGGGTGCCCTGCCTCGTCCGGACCTTGCTCTGTAGTTGCCGGCTGGGCGACGAAAGGAACTTTTTCCGCCTCTGGAGCTACCCATTTTCTTGTCCCGTGCTCTCTGTATCCCAGGAAACTTGGACTTGCTCGAGTAGCGCTGGGATGTCTGCCTGATGACGCTGGCCAGAGTATCTATGGACTTGATCATTAGGACCTCCCTCGAGTCTTTGGTAACTTCCTTGGCAACCTCGTCGATTCCTCCAGCGAAGATCGAAGGAGTTGACCACGGGGCTGTGTAGAGTGACTTGGTAAAGTGCTCACTCCAACTGCAGGAGGCGAGGAGACCTTGTCGACGTGCCAGTGTCAGCGCTGCGGAGATGGATGAGAGATGGTCTGTCATAAACTGTTGGTCCTTCTTCTGCATAAGGAGGGCAGAATATATCATCCTATCTTCTTCCGCAGTAGAGTCTCAGAATTTAGCGATGAGCGTTTCGTTGACTGTCCTTGATCTGTTGAGGCCGAAGAACATGCGCCTGGTCATAGTTTCAACTTTTTGTCTTCAATGTTGTAAGACTTGGCCTTGGCATCACTGATGACTTTGAAGTTCTCATCGATGTCCTGTGCCTTCAGGAATGGATCCATGTTGTGGAAGGAGAACTTTTTGGCGTTGAACTGTGGTAGATGCGGCGCCTGGGCTTTTGTGGCTGACTTGAAGGCTGCGTCCAGGTTCTCTGGGACCGCTGCGATGGGATCCATCGGAGGGAGAGTGATCGTGTCGACATCATCATCCTGCATGAGATAGGTATGAGCCGGATTATCATCCTTAGATGGTGATGCCAAGTCTAGACCGTTGGCCATCCAGTAGCGTATTTCAGCGTCCGAAAAGATGATCCCACCGTCATCCTCAATGACAGGAGTGTTAAGTAAGGGACGTTGATCCTCCTCCGATGGTGATGGAGGTGGAGTCCTTTGTGACTGTGGTGACCTGTGTGGAGACCTGCGCGGAGACCTGCACGGAGACTTGTGTGGCAACCTTCGTGGAGACTTGCGCGGAGACCTGCGTGGAGATCTGTGTGGCGAGTGGCCCGGCGAACTGCGTCTGTAGGGTGACCTGCGCGGAGACCTGCGCGGAGATGAGCGACTGTGGGTTCGCGAATGTCTCAGCGAATCCCTCGACGATCTGCGTGATGCGGAAGATGTCTTGGATACTGTATCTGAAGCCCTTCACGAATGCCTTCGCGAACGCTGATCATCTGATTCCGCATCTGGGGATAGGCGCTGGTCTGGGGATAACGCTAGCGCTGGCGACTGGTCCTTCGCGAACGCCTTCGCGAATGCTGATCGTCCGAGTCCGCCGCAGGGGATGGTTGAGTCGAACTTCGCGCAGGCTGGTCCTGACGTGTAGATCTGCTGGCAGATGTCACGTTGATGGAGGGCCCCTCATGCACGACGTCTGCGTTGGAGACTTCACGAAGGCTCGGGACCTCTTTGTGGGCTGGCTGTGACTTCTTCTCCAGGCCATAACGCTGCTCCATCATCTCCATGATTTGTTGGGAGAACTGCTGCATAAAGTCCCCCGGGTTGAAGGTCTGCGGTGGTAGTAGCGCTGCCCTTTCTGCGGTGATAGCGACGTGGCCCACAGGACGCTCATCTGTTGTCAGCGTAGATACCTCGGGTTGCGTGGAGATCTGCGCTGAAGTCTCCGTAGCTGAGACTGGTCTTTTCTTGGGATGAACCTCTGGGATAATGATCGGTTGATCATCGTAGAGTCCCTGTTCCGTCAACGGGACAATCTCGGCTGAGAAAGTCCGTGTTGTCTGCGCTGACTTCCCCGTGGTGGTGGACGCGCTCTGAAGTGCGGAGGCTGCGCTGGGTGGTTGACGATTTCGAAGTCTTAGGCTGAGACGGCGGGATGTCGGAGTAGCAGGTCTCTTCTTGGAGGTGGCGGACTTCATCCCACGCCTCTCCTCGAGGGAAACTCCAGCGGAACACCAGGCGGAAGGGGGGTCGCCAGACAGCAGTTGACTGGTGAGGGACTCGCTGATTTATCCATGACTGGACTAACCTGTCTAGACCTATCTGCAGCACATCTAAGGACGCTTAAAGAAGGTATTTATTAAATGCACAAGTAGTTAAATGCTTGCAATTAATGCAGCGGGAGCTGAAAGAACATGGTACCGTGCAGCTAGGGCACAATTGATGAGGGTCAGCAGCAGAGAAAGCGTAATCTACAATTGGAACAGTTTTTCATGAACGTAAACAACTGAACAAACACGGACTAACCCGTGAATAAACAGTGCTAAATGCGATTAAATATGAAACCATATTGTTGAAGGATACTAGCTAAACCTCTATAAAGTATAATAGAGGTGACTAACTTAGTAATAAAAGGATATAGTGCCGTATAGGAGACACAGGCGCTCTCACAACCTGCTCACAGGGCGAAGAAGGAGAGAGTGAAGCGTGGGAAAACAGTGGCACCACTTTTCCCGCCAAAACCGGAAACAGGGATAACTCTGGTGAGTAGTGATTTTATGTACGTTTTATTGAAGGGAGCTTCAATAAGGAGATACAAGTGTTCCACTATGTTCGCAAGAGGAAGAAGACAAGCAAATAAGCATGAGTCAGGATAAGGAAAAATTAAATTTGTAACCTGATAAGGACAAAACTGGTCCACATGCAATTATTTACAGGCTGCCATCCCATAACATTCCTGAGTGTGGAAATAGCAAGATCGATTGATTGACAAATTATTTGATCAATCACTCCAGCACTACCAACTAGTAGTTATCAAGCCTAGATGTCACACTTCATGCGTGGATCCAGAGGGGGGTGCGGGGGTGCGCGCACACCCCCCCTCTCCCCCCCCACACACAAAGAGTGTTCCAAATGTACTACATGTTTTATGCCCAGGGTTCCGAGGATTGGGGTGCACCCCCCCCAAACGAAAATCCTGTATCCGCCCCTGCACTTAAACCAATGAATGATGATGAAATCAACCAGATAGGATAGAAGAGGTGCTAAATAAACATCTGCCAATCACCTTTATCCATAATGGTTTTCATCTCTCCTGTTGTCTTGTTTGTATGCATCTGCACTGTGAAACCGAGAGCTTTGAGGCCGCTGATATATACTTGAGGCATCTACGTCAGTTCCTGTCCTTATTCCCATGCCTGTGTGGCGGTCAAAATCGCGGTTGTTGAGAATAACAGCCAGGCCCCGATTCGCGTGGTTCATCTTGTATTTTTCAGCAAGGAACTCTGCCTCTGTGTAAACAGGTGCTTGTCCACCTGCTTGTCCACCTGCTTGTCCACCTCTGGAAGTCGAAGGAAAATTGTTATGTTGACTATTACAAGGATAACATTAGTGTAAGCCAAAAACCCAGCAAGACATCAGGGCTGGTAACTTAAATATTTAACCAGACCAGACCAGAGAATCCAAAGCAAATTACTCAGATGTATAGAATATACATATAATATATATACTGTAAATTTAGACTGCATGTCAGAAATCTAGCCTGTCTCGGACAGTTGGACAAGCCTTATTTCATACACTGTGATATTCACAAACACTGCAAAGCTTCTGTTGTATGTTGTATTGATCACAATGAGCCTTCCTAATGCATTGTTGTATATATTTAGAGAAGTAGGACTGGTTATAATAGTTTTATTCCACTTCCATTCTAAAATGAATTAATTAAGAACTTATCAGCCTTGCTTTTCATGGTACTCTACCTGGACATTATAGCATGTTTTTAGCCCATCAAATGTCAGCTTTCTAAGACTCTTTAGGGGCAATGGGATGACTTAGAGGTAAAAGTGTTTGACCAAAGACGAAACTTCGATTCCCCACATGGGTACAATATGTCTGCTGTCCCCTGCCATGACATTGCTAAAATATTGCTAAAAGCGGCGTGAAACTAAACTCACTCACTTTAACCCTTCCCTTGTGGTTTTAACTGTGTAACTGTCACTTAATGCTTAACAGAAGATATTTTTAACCCTGGTATGAATTCTTTTATACTATTTCACATATTTCAAACATTTACTTTAATCAAAAGTTGATTCAAAGTAATGATATGAAACAACATAACTCAAATTCCCAGTTGGGCATGACAGGTGAGCAAGTCTATTGATTCTTCCCAGCTGGTGCAGCCAGTACTGACTTGAGCATCATACTGCATAGCATACTGTATGTCAGCTGTATGTACAGTCACAGCGTCATGTGTGTTAGTCATTCAGACATTAGTACCATGGCAGGTTTGTTGTTGAACTTGCCTTGCCAACAAATATTCTAATTTCCTATCTGGCATCTCTAGCTCAAGAGATTGCTGTTACCATGGTTACAGTATAAAATTCTCACAGATTTCCCCTTGCTCATGTTGGCTTGGAATAGAATCATAAGAATGTACTTCTTTTTGGAATATCTGGTACACTTTAAGTATAAACATAAACTTCCAGCTATCAATCTGAACAGTAGGGACATGCTGACTAGAAAATATTTACCAATGATGCTACTGGAATGTTAAACATTGAATCGAGCATCCGCTTGGAGACTGTTATGGCAGAGTTCCGATCTCCAAAAGACGTTCATCAAGTTAATAGATGGTAGTTATTGTTCCCCTGCCTGTCATTAGTGGACATTAAGGACTGATCAGCTCGGAGTCAGTATCCATGTTATACAGCAGTATGGTACCTCAAAAGGCTAGCTCCATAAAACTGGTACTATCCCATACTAATACAAGCAGCCACACACATAGGTGTGGAGGCAGTGGGGTTGCCTAGTTGATAAAGCATTCACTCGTCACGCCAAAGACCCAGGTTTGATTCCCCACATGGGTACAATGTGTGAACCCCATTTCTGGTGTCCCCTGCCTTGATATTGCAGGAATATTGCTAAAACTGTGTAGTAAAAAGCGGCGTCATACTAAATTCACTCACTCACTTAAGTGTGCCTGCTTGGGGCTGTGTAAGGGCAATAATCTTAACTGCGCTTTTAACCACATGATTCTTTGCTTGAAAACAATATACATGAAGTTTATCAGCCTACTTAATCACTTAACTGTACTTTGGACTGTAAGCCACTTGTACTGGGTGGCATTTCATTCGATGTGTTTCAGCCTTGTTATGGTGGGATCACCTCCGTGGTGTAGTGGTTAGAGCATCCGCCCAGAGAGCGGAAAGTCGCGGGTCGATCCCCGACCGCGTCATACCAAAAGACGTTAAAATATGGTACTTGTTGGTCCCTGCCTGGCGTTCGGCATTAATGGGTACAACAAGGACTGGTCAGTTCGGGGTCAGTATAATGTGTCTGAGTGGGGTATTCATGCTTCACTGCGGCATGGTATCTCAGTGGGCTAGCACTATAAAACCAGCTTAAGTCTGCGCTAGTACAAGCAGACGCACATACACATACACACGCATGCACATCGTCATATGAGCGAAATATTCTCAAGCACGACGTTAACCCAATTTCACCTCACCTTGTTATGGTGGTGAGGGTATACCTGGTTTAGAGTATATATCATACATCAGGGACATTGGATACTACAGGACACTGGATAAACTAGTAAGCAAATATCAATGACATGGATGGACATTTTCTGTGTTAAGCATCATCAGGGTAGAGAAACCAAATGGCATTTCTCACACTGCACTGACTGTGGGAACTGAAACCATGCCATCAGCATCAGAGCTCCAGATAAGATTTAGCTCATGTGGGTACTGTACCCACTGTATTTTTTGGAGTGGGTATTATGAATTTTGAGTGGGTATGTCATTTTCCGTTACCCACTGCTTTCAAATATGTGAGTATTTCAGTCATTTTACAAAGCAGGTATGTTCTGCCTTATGTCATACCTAATCAAAACCAACTTAAATATAATGGAAATGATTTCATAAAAAATCACTCATCCTATACTGACAGTACAACACTAGTCCTATATTAACAGACCTCACTAGTCCTATACTAACAGTACAACTTCATAGCAATCGATGTCTTTGTCATTACGCAAGCGATTTTTATAAATATATTCCGTACGCATTTGTTTTAAACTTTTTGCGTATCTAACATTTTAAATGCGTAATTTGTACGCAACAATTATTTTTCAATGCGTAATTGGAAATTTTCTATGCGTATTTTACCCGGATACGCAGCTTATCTGGGCCTCTGCAGCATGACGAGTGAATACTTTAACCACTAAGTTACCTCATTGACCCTAGTTCTGATGAAAGAGTTTGTATGTAACTGTGCATAGTGAATGCTTAAACAATAAAAGTAAAGACTTGGTATGAAACAGGTGTTCTTTTCTTTGTTCAACAGCCAATTCAGATGGCAACTAAGCAGCAATTTGTATAACAGTGAGAGAGTGAGTTACATCGCTTTTAGCAATATTCCACCAATATCACGGCGGGGAACACCAGAAATGAGCTTCACACATTGTACCCATGTGGGGAATCGAACCCGGGTCTTCCCCATGACAAGCGAACACTTTAACCACTTGGCTACCCCACTGCTCCATTTGTATGACATGTACAAGGTAATTAGATCAATCAGAGGCCCAGATAACCTGCGTATCTGGGTAAAATACGGATAGATAATTTCCAATTAGGCTTTGAAAAAATAATTGTTGCGTACCAATTACACATTTAAAATGTTAGATACGCAAAAAGTTTAAAACAAATGCGTACAGAATATATTTATAAAAATCGCTTGCATAATGAAAAAAGACATCAATGCTATGAAGTTGTATTGTTAGTATAGGACAAGTGTTGCACTGTCAGTATAGGATGAGTGACTTTTTATGAAATCATTTCCATTATATTTAAGTTGGTTTTGATTAGGTATGACATGAGGCAGAACATACCTGCTTAGTAAACTTACTCAATGACGTAATACTTAGGTGAGTAAAATGACTGAAATACGCACATATTTGAAAGCAGTGGGTAACGGAAAATGAAATACCCACTCAACATTCATAATACCCACTCCAAAAAAATACAGTGGGTACAGTACCCACATGAGCTAAATCTTATCTGGGGCTCTGTAATTAGATCAAGCATCAGTCATAATGTCTTGTCAAACAGCATGATTCAAATCAGTGTACAAGGTGTTTTCTACAGCCACTGTACTAGTTACCACAGAACCTTAATTGCCACAACTACGGTGTCACCATGATTACCCTGTGGCCATAGAAAGATAAAAACAAGCCAACGAACAAAAAAAAAAAAAGCAACAGGATCCTGACAGTCAAATCAATAAGTCTAAACTTCTGAAAGGTAACACAGCTCTTGTTGAGCCTAGCAACCACTGCCTTCTGTACAGTGTTGTTAGATGGCTGCATGTGAGGTAACACTAGCTTTCATCCCTGAGGTCACGGTAAGGACACTGTGTGTCTAAGGGAAAGTAATTACAAGCCTTGGCCAGTCAGCAGCCACACCTCAGCAGTCTGACCAGTGTGTAATCAGCATGCTGTAATCAGTGTTAATGTTACCATGGTTACAGCATCACATGCTTGTAGCAAATGTGGTATTAAGGGCATCAATACCAACTGTCTGACAAGACTAAAATCATAAAACACTACTTGGAAAATGGTGTTCAGAATGCAGGACAAAAACACCACACACTGGATAAAAATTTATGATAAGGAAAATGATATACTTATTCTTGTCAAACTATCTCAGAGAAAAATAATTTTATTTTTTCCTTGCTTACACAGTACACTACAGTTAAATATATAATGAATTCTAAAGGACCACTAGTTTGTTATACCATAGTTCGTAAATCATATTTTGACCCAAAAATATCCAGGAAGTGGCTGATAATAAGACGATCGCAGTTCATTATAGCTGTCAGTTCTTCAGAAGTGAGTTCATTATACACACAGTTTACTGTAAATCTAGAAATGTTATCTTCATTGTTATGTACCCAATGACCCCTTCTGGCAATGTCCGCAGTGGCTAGAGGTAAGCCTCAGTTACAGATGACCCCTACATATCTGATGCACTATGAACGGCATGAAATGTAAAAAAAAAATGTTCTCTGGTCTGGCAATACTTCCAAACATTTCCTAAATTGTATGACATGAATGACAGTCATGAAAATTCAGTCTTATGGACCACTCAGTCGTTCTTCCGTTCGTTCGTTAGTGAGTGAGTGTTTTGCGCCACTTTTAGCAATTTTTAAACATTGTCCGGCAGGGGTTCACACATTGTACCCATGTGGGGAATCGGACCCAGGTCTTCAGTGTGACGAGTGGACACTTTAACCATTCGGCTACCCCACCTCCCTTTTCAGTCCCGAGGAAAGTACTTTCCACATCACACGATGCAGGATCAGCTATTGTGGCCACACTGTTCCCATACATGAACAGCATTTGTGTGAAAAACTTGTTCATTAACATGTTTAGCAATACTAAAAAATAAGGTGTTTTTTTTAATACTCTGAGGGCCAGTTTTGTGGAATATGGATGTCAGTCTCAAAAACAATTGTTGCCATAATCCAGTATGTGGGATCAGCAATTATCATGATTTCTGTAAGATGTTAGTGGAGTCTGGCCATTCACAATGATATAAGTGAAGGCATCATGCATTTTTCTTACCCTCCTTGTCCTCCTCTTGCATCAACTTCATCTGCCCCAGGAGGTGCTCCCAAAGCATCTACATGGTCATTGTTATCTGGAATACAAAGAACATGTGCACACTGTCATTCAATTAGATTTATTGAAAAGTAGAAATAAACACTGTCATGTATGAATATTGCTTATTACATAGGTTCTCAGTACACCTATATCACATATCTGCCTGTATCATGATACATAAGACATGATGTACATTATGATACTGACGTGATAACAAGGTAACAAAGTTTAACACAGGTATGACAAATGACAGGTCTCCAATAACATACATGTTTAACTAAACATGCTTAAAGAGCATGAAGGTTCGTCTGAAAATCATTCTGATTTGACCATTACCGGCTGATGACCAGTTATCACCAGCAAGAGTGCAGCTTACCATGTTAGCTGTAGCAGCTTGCTGGAGGATTACTGGCTCGACTGCCAACTCAAGTTTTCACTTCACATATCTTGTGTGTTTATTCAATCCTTAGGATTAGTTGTGCTAGGGTTAGGATAGGTTAGACCCAACTCTAACCCTTTCCCTTGGATCCCCGTTCTCATCAAACATCCCTTTATGATCATCAAGGTTAATCATGCCTTTACTCCTTATATTAGTGTATGTTGTTAGGTAAGATGTGTGTCTGTTACCTCTTTTAACAAACAGACAAAATATGAGAACACTGTGTATAGGTCCGTCTCGCATTCTTGCGGGTTTCCCATTCTCACGGTAAACACGTTTTCTGCCGAAATCACCGATGCGCGACACTTATCGGTTGTTTACATCACCGACTGGTAACTAGGAAGTGGCCCAAGTCTGTGAGTGATCAAAATCTTGCAGTGTCACAAATATTGGGGTGTTTATACCAACTTGGACATATCATTACTTTTGCCCGCCCTTTCTGGCAGGATTGCTCTTACATACACTCAATAACGTTAATTCCTGGTAATACCGCGAGAATGGGAGAAGCATCGTTTCGTCAATGGCGGATCGTATTATCACCGGGCTCACGAGTGGTAATTCACCTGATGGATCTAGCAGCTGATAGATGTAGATGTTAGAGGAGAAGGCCCTTCATTTAAAAACAACAAGCATTCATATGATAAGAATTGTCTGTGTTATTTTTTCATCTGATATCCGTAAGTACCGAAAGAATAGGAAATGCCTTCCTACATCTTCACCAAGGTTTGTTAAAGGTCACATGCAACGTAAAACACAACTTTGCAGATTTTGATACCTTTTGGTATGGACTTACCGAAACAAAGCATCAAAAATGCAAATTCAACTTATAAAGTTGAAAAATAACGCGATGAAAAAATACGCACGAAATCGGAGTTCAAACGATTCACTAATTTTCCCCCAGCGCTTGGGGGAAAAGTGGTTTCAACAGCTGGGCTGCACTGCGCTGGGCTGCGCTCATAGCACATGCGCAGTGAAATAGGTCCCCGAAGCTTGGAAGCGGGTTGTCCGGTGTATACTTGGTGAAGGCTTTGGTGTGAGCTATTTTTCTAATGTTTTGTTGCTATTTCACAGGCGAGAGCTTTTTATACGTTATGACAGTAGATTACCGATTTAACTGTTTATATAATTTAATTTGTCTATTTCACCACACGTCCTTCTTACTTTCTCAGTTCGATACTTAAAAGCAATGTTGACAGAATTTCTAACTGTGATATACATATGTTGTTGTCACAGACAAAACTCAATTTCTGTTTTATTGACACCTATGTGTCTGCCTGCCTGTCTGCTAATGACCATATTCAATACACAACTTCGATCACTGACCACATGCAATTTGAACTTAACACCTATCAGGCTATACACCATAAACAAAACGCATTGATTTATGGCCCGAGTTCGGCCTCTGTCACATGATATAATTACACAGACAGGCAGGTGTGGTACTTGTACACAAGACATGTTATGATGTCTGTTGATTGCAAAATGTTATACACAAAAAATTAGCATGTACATACAAAAGCTAACATCTCTATATATACACACACACAATGAGCCGTGAGGGCATCTGCAAATGAACCAGCCGTTATGAAGTGCACACCCATTAGCTCTGACTGAGTTCACATCCCTGCTTCGTTTCTTGGGAAGTAAACCCAAGTACAAAATATTGCACTTTTGTTTTGCGATTGTACGCTTATAATTTTGTTTATATGTTTTTTCATAATCAGCAATGTATATTATATGTCATGAATGAGTGATAATTGTGTTTTAATTATGTTTGATTTTTTGGTTGCAGGTGACCTTTAACAAAATTGCTTTTACGCTGGCTTAGAAAGGTAATCAGCCAGGTGCTGATGACTTACTAAATGAGAAGTAATTACTTATGATAGTGCCTGTGATTACGGGTTAGGTGTTGGCTAATTATATGTATATTCATGCAAGCTGTCAAAATGAGTTCAATCCTCGATACGGCAGTAACTAAAGTGTGAAAAGGTGTGCCTGGTAAAGTGCACTATAGTCCCCCAACGTCATATTACTTCGGCTTATATTTTCATCAGATCATTTTAATGGAGGCATGTATATCCAAATGTGAGCAGTGTCATTATCGAACATGATGAAACATCAACATTATTACCACAAATTTTAAACCTAAATGATAAAACAAAAATGTAACCTATGATTAGAGTACATAAAGTTCTGTGGTTAGGTTGCTTGAACTTGAGGATTATCATGACAATTAGGGAAATTTTAACAACTCATAACACGCTTGTCGAAATCGATACCGACCCATCACAATTATTTCAAGGTTGTCACTCCTATTTTAGTCATAATGATTCATAAAAGAAACCATGGACGTTGATTTGTTGAACATGTTAGGCTGATTTCGGGATACAGGAATTATCTACACTGCCACAGAGTTGGTTAATTACGACATTTTCTGACTTAATGCAATGCCCTCCTGACGGACAACAGGCAGTCATCTTTCCATATTATGATTTAAGAAAATAAACAGAAGCTGTAACACAAAAAAAAGTTCAACTCACTGTCAGTCATAGTTCACGATGACGTAAAGAAACGAATAGGTATGCCCGATACGATTTCCTCTTGGGCACAAACAATCCAAATGTTTGCAAACTCGCCTCTACGGTTCCGTCGACATTCGGCTCTTTCCGTAACGCACCTGCTTGTAGTATTCGTCCACAGAGATTTTCACGACCATTAAAGGAATATGTCAGAGTTCGTACTTTTCTTTGCTATATACATGTATATGACAAATTTTGATTATCGAAGAAGATAAAAAAGGACAATTGACGAATATATAAAAATAATATTGTATGATTTTTCTTTACATGATATTTTCCCTCCCACATTGACCTACTGTATAAATCATTCAGTTTATCTTTATTTTTCACAGCAAGAGCGACTAAGAGACACCAGAGGGTACAATAAAATAAATACAGTATGCCTGGCTTCATTTTTAATTATTTTTATTTATTTATGTTTCACAGATTATGATGAAAATGCAGCAGAGAGGGTACGTTTCGGGCGATCCTGGCACAGTCAGGCTGGTAAGGCTCATCGATCGTGACATCAGGGCCCCGGTCCCCTCTACACGCAGCCCAGACAGCGAATGGGACGTCTCCAGGAAACGCTGCCTAGTCGAACCCACCAAGACCTTTCCGGAGAATATGATGTAGACTCCCCAACACTGCAGCCTTCTGCATTACCCAGAGCGTCAGAAGGGCTGTACGCCCGGTGGAGAACCCGGGCACTCTCCTGATCTGCGCCAAGAGATCAGGAGGTGCCAAACCAAGGGCAAATATTATAGGATTTATTTATATAGCGCACTATCCAGGCAACTAGTGCTTGCTCAAGGAGCTATCCAGGGCGTCATGGAAAATGATGCTTCCAAACTTCTGTGGAATAGGCCCATATACAGCCTCAGAAAAATTTCTGCCAACAAACCTGATCTTGTCCTTTTTGATAAAGCCAATGAATTTATTTATATCATTGAATTTTCTGTCCCTTTTGACACCAATGTGATTGGCAAGATTCAGGAAAAGCATGATAAATATGCGGACCTCGCCTTTGAAATGTCTCGCTTGCATCCCAGGTACACTGTCGTCAGACTCCCATTGTTCTCGGTGCCCTTGGTTTGGTACCTCCTGAACTCTTGGCGCAGATCAGGAGAGTGCCCGGGTTCTCCACCGGGAGTACAGCCCTTCTGACACTCTGGGTAATGTAGAAGGCTACAGTGTTGGGGAGCCTTCATATTCTCCGGAAAGTTCTTGGTGGGTTCGACTAGGCAGTGTTTCCTGGGAGAAGTCCCATTCGCTGTCTGGGCTGCGTGTAGAGGGGGCAAGGGCCCTGAGCTGATGATGAGCCTTACCAGCCTGACTGTGCCAGGATCACCCGAACCCTCTCTGCTGCATACTATCTTTAATCTGTAATCTTTAATCTGAGGTCCATCCATGGTACGACCCTGAACATAATAATAATAATGTTCAGGGTCGTACCATAGATGGACCTCAGAGTCAAAGCCACAGGCATGGGAGAGACGATAGTAAAAAGCAACGAGCCATGCCATCATGTTTGTGCCAAGGAAGGGCGTCCACTGACAAGGTGTTGGACAGTCTCTGTAAATTCATTGCAAAGTCGACATTTCATATTGATATTTTGTTTAAGAATCACATTTTGGCGATTGCGAGTGGGAAGTGACTGGTCCTGAGCAGCAAAAAGGAAGCCCTCAGTTTCACATTTGACACCAGCCGACTTCATCCAGGCGAAGGAGTCGGTGGGATTGCTATTCTGTTCCACACACTGCATGTACACACGATGCAATGGCCTCTCAGAAAGCTTCTCCACAAATGACCGACTCTGGGCAGACTTGGTGAAGGACTTCACCTGGTTTACTCCCATCGCTGAACCGTCCAGTAGTACATCGCCATAAACAAAATCAACCTCAAATTTCAGATTCTGTCCAACAACCTTGGCACGCTTAAAATAGCTGCGGAATTCCTTGCTTTCATCATGAGTCTTGACATGCATCACGAGAGGATCATCCGATAAATAATATGTAAAAAGTACACAATAAATTTTTATCATGAAGAGCCTCCACATTAATCAAACCCCGACGCATTTATCTATTATTATTATTTTATCTATTTTTATTATATATGGGGGTAAAATTTGGTGTGATGTAGCTTCGCTAAATGTGGAGAGACAATATCTTTAGTCAGTGAAAAGTGAAAGTCCATTATAAAAAGTTACAGTAAGTTTGAAATGTGGGAGTATATGTAACTTTTCCCCACAGCACCTAACATGAATTTCGCAAACACTAGATCTATAATATCAAATCAAAACGTTTTATTTTTAGCAATAACCTGTGTATATTTGACTTTAATACTGCATTTGTTTTTATTAGTCAGTCACTGCATTTGCAGTCTGGATAATCTGTCACATATCACTCGTGTACTGCAGGGGATGTAGGTAGTAAAGATGATGCCATCTTGTCAGAGGGATACCCAAAGTACGTGACCTTGACTTTCAATTGTGAGACTTCCAATTTTGTGAAGGCCGGGGTAGTGAGAGGGTTAGATCGCGGACTTAGAGTTTAACCGTTTTTAATGTTGCCATTAACTAATGATGCATTAAGGATTTAATGTATCATTAGGTTTAATGTTGAGATTAGTTAATGAAGAAATGATACAACCGGATCCTGGCGATTAGGAGTCTTACGCCGAGACTGTGGGTTCGAATCCCCGATGGGACTCGGCCCCTAAAAGTAACAGAATCTGTACTTTACTGAGAAAGTGTAATCCCGCATATAGCATATGCTGCATCTGTTAAGTATGGTTTAAATACGTACACGTATGATTGTGAAATCGAAGACATTTCACCAAAGACGCTATTTAAGACATTAGGGTATCAGATGGTCATACATGTGCGCTGTTCCTTGTGTGGTGTAAGGGCCAGGAATGTTATATCTTGCGTGTTTGTAGAATGCTTCCTACTGAGGCCGTTCCGTTTGACTATGTGCATGACTCCCCGATAACACACAGTATATATATACCAATTTGTGATCCCAAGTCTTCGGTGTAGTCTTGTTCGTCTGACAATCATAGAAGTAAAGTACATTTCTCACGACGAGTATCCTCAATCTTCAATTACCAATCTCACTTTACAAAAGAGTGTGAGGTGCGTGAGCACCAGAAATAGTAACGGCATTTGTTTACTAAATAATCGAACGACAGTGACCACCTGACTGCAATCGTCTTTAGCCTATAAAGGCATGTATTATATCTATATCGCATCTGAATAAACGTTCGTTTAGGGCATAGGTATTCTCTTACCGTTGCTTACTCTTCATACCATAGACGATTTGCTTGCAAACAAGGGGATTCCCCTATTGTATTTCCTGTGGTCATGAGACGGATGGTGACTGTTTTGATTTGTAATATACTGACTCCGTCGTCACTGTAGAGAAATGCAGGTTGGGTTATTTAGTCACAAAATACCATAGTAAATGAGTTAAACAACGACACGATTAACCCAGCACACCATAAATGCCTGTTTAGAAGCCCTTGCACAAATATGACAAATTCCTTATAAATCACTACTCTTTCTTACACTTAGCACTGTTACTGTAAACAAGTCACTAAGTCTGTTTGAATGCTGTGTACAAGCAGGGATACTCTACAACATATAGTCTCCCTGGTACAAGCACTCCATGACCCTTGGATTCACCTGAATATTATACAGGTAACAGACCAATAATGAAAATGTGGAGCATTTCACTTCTAAAATGAGATTTTTATTTGTCCAATAGAGGCTGTTGCGAGATATAGCTGTGGGGACCAGTGCTGATGGTGAGTGTATGCATTATTTCGTTATCAATATGTTTGTATAAGGCAGAAGAACAAGTTTTATATATTTACAAGTTCTTTCTTGCAATAGATGTGACATTTTGGTGTAGATGCTAACACTACTATCAATATCAAGTGATACACAACGTGCACAAGGAGAACTTATTCATGAAGGATGATTATTTATACAGCTGAGGAGGTTGATGTACAATATGATTATATTGCTGATAGATGTAGAGTAGTATTGATAACAGGCTATGAACAAGGTCCCTAGGGAAAGGGCTCATTATTGCCTGGCCTTAATCCCATGGTGTAGATACTGGTGGAAGCTGTAGAAATTTCATGAAAATCACTGGAATAGTTTGGAGATATTGACTTTGAGTTGAGCATGGAGTTCTGTCAAAAGGCTAAATGTCTCTGAGAATTAAGTCTTAATTAACCTAATGAAGTCATCGAGAGTGTCCTAATCCCATTCTCTGGAGTAACAAATATGGTTAGAATGACTGTCTCTCTCTCGCTATCGCTATGTGTACAGCTTGTATAGATAAGTAGCTCTCACTCGCTCAACACTAGCGGTGGGCCTCATGGTGTGAAGGTAACAGAGCTGGGTTAACAATACTGAGGTCCCGAGTTTGAAACCTAGAGTCAGTCGAAACTTTTGCGACTTGGATATGATAGTGACAGGAGAATTATAGAAGCCAGACGTTCATACAAGATCGTTTGACACACTTAGATGCCCTAATTCAGACTATATATAGACACCACAGTTCTGATGTTCATACTTTGTGTTTACAGTCACAGGAACATACCATACCACAACTGTGGGCGAGTCGCAGTGTGTGTGTGTGTCTCTCTCTCTGCTCGGCTATTCACCTACAGCTCGCTGAGCTGGCTGGTCAGCTGGCTACGTTATGTTGATGCCCGCAAAACAATTTATTGTGAATCTCCTATGATTTGTTTGGTTTTCGTAATGAAGGCTTGTTGGGCCTGTTGCTTCCCTTGTTCTATGACATTTTTTTTCTCGTCTTCGCTGATGACAGCGTTTTTACGAGACTTGGTCGGAATCTCTTGCTTCATTCTGTGATATTTTGCGATTTCTGATGAAACTCTTCCTCGGAGATTTTAGAGTCAGTGAGGACGCGGTGGAAATATGATCGCCTATCTTGTTTAACCTCGCTTCAGCTAGAATTCTAATTTAAATAGTAAGTGTTTTAATGCTTTACGTTGCAGTCTGCGAGATATGAACTTAAGGGTCAATCCCATCAACCCTATCACATCGGCTGTTATATCGATGCCTAGCAACGATGATGGATAATAACCCGATACCTGCCATGCCTAATCCAATGCTGACTGAAATCCCGTCAATACCGCCCACGGAATTAATCCCATGATATTTTTCTGTAATGTAAACCAGCATCGCTGCGTCACGCGTTCTAGTTGTTGTTTGATCTCCGATATGTGTCGAAAATGCTCACGGTTTAGTCCATTTCTACTTCATGGTACAGTTCCATCCTGTGTGTATATATATATATATTTTTATAACATAATATTTAATTGGTTTTCCATCAATCTTTGATGAATATATTTTAAACTGATGAAATACAAGTGCTCGGATAAAAAATGGTCCGGAGTAAAATGAGAGGCTCCTGAAAACCATCACCCCTCGAGGGTTGTGGTGGGGACTCTTCCTTGTCATGTAGAATGATGTTTGTTTTCAGCTCAGTCCTTTGCTGGGAGAGTGCTGACAAATACCTGGAACAGTGTGAAGTAAGACAAGTTTAAAGTTTGTGAAACAATTACTCATTGTGTGTCCTGAGACTAGGAAGATACTCACATGTAACTGAATCAGAGTTGATAAGGTTTAATACTAATAATAGTACAGTGATTTTATTGTAGCAAAGACATTAAAAATATAAATGAAAACTTTCCCATTAAGCTACAGTAAGTCCATTGTTTTTCTTAAATATTTTAAATTCTACCAAGTACTGATAACATACCTTAGTCATGTAATGACGGTTTTGTTTTAATCTTTTTCATTCTTTTATATGCAAGAAGGCATATTGCCTCAGCATTTAAACTAGACTTTTTTTCCTTTTTAGTTGCAAGTAATAAACTAAATCTGGAAATGTTAAAAAAGAAATTCTAAGTTGGAAACAATTAATTTGACAGGACTGCGACAAGTAATAGGCACAGGACATACTTATTTATTTGCTACTATTATTATGACGCTTGTGCAAGGGCAATATTGCTCTAACCTGTGCATGCTCTGGCTCTAATTAGATCTGGCACTGAACCAGCTGAAACTATAAAACTATGAAAACAGTGAGTGATAGTCTGTAAGACAGAAACAGAGGAATAGGCTTCGTAATATCTGTTACTTATGATAATTTATGTAATGCTGGGCTACAGGTGGGTTTAAGTAATTTCTTCCAGAGAGTTCTTACAATTTCTTCCTGAATAATGTCTTCCAAGGATGCAATTTGGTACATGTACTCACCTGTCATTTGGTTTAATATTAAAAACACAATAAGGGCCAGTAGAATTTCAGGCTGTTTAGCGGAGTCCCAAATATCCTGTGTTCAGAGAAGTTCATGTTTCAGGTACAGTTGTATCCTTGCTCTTCAGTCTCAATCTCTGCAATGTCTGATATGATGTCAGTTGAAAGATGAGGCTTGGGAGGTCCATCACTTGTTGAACACTAATGTCTGTTTTCTACTCCAGGTCTTCATTGTTTGGAGAGCCAGCTGCCCTTGGTGACATGGACCAGTACAAGTTTGACCACAAGCGTCGTGGTGTGGCCCTTATTGTCTGTAATAGTAAGTTCCAGGGTCACCCTTTTCGCAAGGGATCGGGAACATGATGTCAAACATTTCGAAAAGACGTTTCTCAAGTTTGGTTTCAGTCCTCGAGACATCAGAATTCGGTACAACATGAATTCTGGAGACATGTTGGACTGGTTTTTGGGAGGTAAGTTGATAAGTGAGTGAGTATAGTTTTATGCCGCATTTAGCAATATTTCAGCAATATCACTCAAGGGGACCAGAAATGTGCTTCACATGTTGTAACCATTTTTAACAACGAACTCGGCCCTCGATGTCATGAGTGAACACTTCATCTGCTGGGTTACCCCATCATCTTGTAAGATGAAGAACAGTTGAATTTTAGACATTTTTCCTTATCCTGACTCATGCTCTTTTGCTTGTCTTCTTCTTCTTGCGAACATAGTGGAACACTTGTATCTCCCTAATTGAAGCTCCCTTCAATGTAAAATCACTAATTAATACTCACCAAGAGTTGCCTCCCTCTTCCAAATGCGCGCGGGAAAGGAGGCGCCACCTCTTCCCTCATGCTTCACTCTCTCCTTCTTCGCCCAGTGAGCAGGATGTGAGAGCGCCTGTGTCTCCCTACACACTATATCCTTTGATTATTCTTAGTTAGTTACCTCTTGTAGTCATCTATGGAGGTTTAGCTAGTATCCTTCAACAATTATGTATTGATATTTATTCGTATTTCTGCTGTTTATTCGCGGGATGCCGTGATTGTTCAGCAGTTTGCGTTGATGAAAATCTGTACTGTTTGTAGGTTACGTTTTTCTGCTGCTGATCCGCATTTAATAAGCCCTAGCTGTACTGCACCATGTGCATTTTCTTCACGTTGCAGTTACTGTAATAATTTGTCTAACTCTGCATTTAACAAATATTATCTTTGCGTCTTGAGATGCGCAGCAGATAGGCCACGTAAACAGAGCCTAGCCATGGCTGATACTTCGGAACCCCTAGCCAGTCAACTGCTGTCGGACGACCCCCTCCCGTCTGGTGTTCCGCTAGAGTTACCTTCGGAGGAGAGGCGTGGGACGCAGTCCGCCATCTCCAAGAAGCATCCTGCATCCCCAGACATCCCGTCGTCGGGACTAAGAGGGCTTCCACTTCGTCACAACGCAGACTCTGTACCCCCAGGGCAGCGTCTACCTCCAAGGGGAAACCAACGAAGTCTACTAGGACTTTCTCAGCTGAGATTGTTCCTGCCGCAGAACTGGGCCTGTAGACGTCACCCCAGAGGGACCCCTCGTCAACGAAGCGGACACTATCAAGTCATCGCTGGGGAACCCACCTGCGCGAAGGACGTCACAGCCCACCTCTGCGAAGGACCCAGATGTCCAGCCTTCGCGAAGGCCTTCGCGAAGGACAGCTAGATCGTCACCTGCCTCGGACTCCGATGATCAACTCTCCGCGACTGACCCCCCCCAGCCCAGCGAAGGTCAAGTCTTCACTCCCCAGGACCGGACTCAGATGAAGCTTCGCGAAGGGCACCAATTACAGGCTCCAAGTCATCTTCGTCTACAAGGTCATCGAGGGATTCCCCAAGAGCTTCGCGAAGCTATCAACGTTCACCACATAGATCTCCGTGAAGGTCACCATATAGACGCAGCTCACCAGGCCGTTCTCCACGACAATCTCCTCGCCGGTCTCCACGTCGATCACCTAGTCGTTCACCTCGCCGATCTCCTCACAGGTCACCACGTCGATCTCCTCGCAGGTCATCACACCGTTCGCCTCACAAGTCTTCACGGAAGTCCCCAGACAGGTCTCCGTTGACGTCACCCTGCACAGCTGTAGAAGTATACAGGTCTCCACCTCAGTCACCATCGGAAGAGCATCAACCTCTTATTAGCGATCCTGTTACAGAAGATGATGGAGGCATCATATTCTCCGACGCAGAAATACACTACTGGATGGTTAACAACCTGGACCTATCTTCACCTTCCAAGAACGGTAACCCGGCCCACACTTATCTCATGAGGGAGGACGATGCAGACACCATCACCCTACCTCCGATCGACCCGATAGCAACAGTCTCCCAGAATCTGGACACAGCCTTCCATAAAGCCACTAAAGCCCAGGCGCCGCACTTACCACAGTTCAACGCCAAAAAGTTCTCAACCCATAATATGGACCCATTTTTCAAGGCACAAGATATCGACGATAACCTCAAAGTAATCAACGATGCGAAGAATAAGATGTACAAGATAGGCGACCAGTAAGCTGGTTCAGATCGAAACCATGACAAGGAGAATGTTCTTCGGCCATAACAGATCAAGAACGATTAATGAAACTCTCATCACCAGATTTCGAGATTCTACATCAGAAGATGACAGAATGATTTACTCGGACCTCCTTATGCAGAAGAAGGACCAGCAGTTCTTAACGGATCATCTTACATCAGTCTCCGCAGCGCTAACTCTGGCTTGTCGTCAAGGTCTCCTCGCTTCCTGTAGTTGGGGTGAACAGTTTACATCTCCACTCTACACAGCCCCGTGGTCTTCGCCATCTATCTTCGATGGAGGAATAGATAAAGTCTCTAAAGAAGTCACCAAGGATTCAAGGGAAGTCCTTATGATAAAGTCGATGGACACGCTAGCCAGCGTCATCAGGCAGACATCACAGAGATATTCAGGAAGATCAAAGTTTACTGGCTTACAGAAAGCACGGGACAGGAAGATGGCCACCTCAAGAGGAAAAGATTCTTTTAAATTAAGCCCATCGCGGCAACTACAGAGGAGGATCTGGAAGAGGCAGGGCACCCAGAGGTTCCCGCAACTATAAACGATGAAAGGCGGGTTCGGAACGACTGGAGCCTTCCACCCCCAGCCGTTCCAGTACAACCATCACAAGTGGGTGGACGCCTTCAACTGCACTGGGAGAACTGGGGAATTCTACAAGACCCATATGTCTCCAACATCCTACATCACGGATATCGTATCCAACTACAGGCCACGCCTCCGCTTACAGTCAACCCTCACAAGTTTGACTTTCAGGCGCAACAACTACCAAAGTTACGAGAAGCTGTTGCATCTCTACTAACCAAGCAGGCCATAGAAGTACTGGATCAAGTAAACATCGAACCAGGCTTCTACTCCCCAGTTTTCCTAGTGCCCAAGAAAAACTCTAAGGAAAAGTTCCGACTCATCTACAACATGAGCACGTTCAACAGAGATTATCTACGCAAACCGCCAACGTTTCGCATGATACATCTACCGCAACTACGGCACCTAGTTCATCCCATGGACTACATGGCCAGTATAGATCTGCAGGATGCATTATCTACATATCCCGATACATCCCGAATCCAGGAAATACCTACGGTTTACACTAGGCGGGCTGCATTATCAATGGAGAGTACTCCCATTTGGAATATCATCGGCCCCCTGGTTATTCACAAGAGTAACGAAACCCATCGTCACTTACCTACATCGTCTAGGGCTACGCAGTGCGTTCTACCTCGACGACGGGATTCAAGTAGATCAAGATCCACAGCGTCTCAAACTACAGTTAAACTTCATCATCAAGCTACTAACACAGCTAGGATGGTTAGTAAATCTACTCAAGTCGGACCTAGAACCTCACGCAAGATCTGCAATTTCTAGGCATTCGATTTATCCACGACACAGAACCGTATCGTGCGGTACCAGAGGACCGATGGCTCAAGATCCAACAGACCATCCCACAAGCCTTACTCTCTCCGCTACCACTACGACAATGGCAGAGTCTGTTGGGTCTCCCCACGTCAGCCCAAGACATGACAGTCAGAGGCAGACTACAGTTACGTCCGTTACAGGTCCTCATCAACGCTCATCTTGACGACCTACAACCATTCAGTCTACCGAAGCACATCAGACCTCATCTACTATGGTGGACCAAGAGGTCGAATGTCTGCAAAGGCATCTATTTAACAGAGCCGGAATTCAAAACCCATCTCTATGTAGACGCGTCGCTCCAAGGTTGGGGAGCTCATCTCGCCAACCGGACGGCATCAGGGTTATGGAGCCAGCAAGAGAGCAAGCTGCACATAAACATGCTAGAAATGAAAGCAGTAATCAACGCCCTACCTACTACATTGGAGCACCATTCTACAGAATGCGCATCTGATGATTCACACCGACAATTCAACAGTGGCGTTTTATATAAACAAACAAGGCTCAACGAGATCATTGAACCTATTGACTCTATGCTTTCAACTGTTCGATCTAATCGACGATCTCAGCTTACATATCAGATCATGTCACATTCCGGGCGCCAAGAATGTTCTAGCAGACGCACCCTCTCGGCCACATCTACCGGCGCCGACAGAATGGATGCTCCATACAGAAATCTTTGCACAGACCATCAAGGAAATAGGAGCTCCGCTAGTAGACCTATTCGCCACTCGCTTCAACAATCAGCTAACGACATTCGTTTCACCAGTCCCGGATCCACAAGCATGGGCAACGGACGCACTAAGCATATCCTGGGAAGGCCTCAACGCGTACGCGTTTCCGCCGCCAGCGCTAATTCCACAGGTGTTACAGAAAATCAGACAAACTCAGAGCCTCCAACTGATTTTGGTCGTGCCCTACTGGCCAGCGAGAACGTGGTTTCCCATTCTAATTCAAGAAATCGGACAACCAACACTATAACTTCCAAAGCGCTCAAATCTACTAGTACATCCTCACACCAAACAAGCGCACGGAAACCCAGGAGCATTCCAACTTCACGTATGGACTTTATTAAAGTGTGTCTAAACAAGAGAGGTTATTCAGCCAGAGCGGCGAAAGCAGTCACGCTTGGTTTACGCAATTCTACGCGCAACTTGTATGACGACAAGTGGCACAGTTTTGAAACATACACTGCTAAAAAGGGATTTACAGCTAGAAATGCTACACATCCACAAGTGGCTGACTACCTGCGTTACCTAAGACAAACTTAAAGGCTAAAAGGCTCGACATTGTCAACATATCTCGCAGCTCTAAGTTCTGTGATAACTATGAGAACGGGTGTCAAGTTAACGAAAACGCCAGAGTTACTGGCCTTGCTACGTTCATTCCGATTGGAGGATCAGAAACAGAGATTTCGCGCTCCAGCATGGGATCTAAATATAGTGCTCCAACACCTCACAAGTGAGGCCTATGAACCACTGGAATCAACATCCTTTGAATTTCTGTCACAGAAAACATTGTTCCTGTTATCCCTAGCAACGGCAGCCAGGATGTCAGAAATTCACGCACTAGATTATGAGAGAATACGTTTCGACGACAATCAAAACATAGTGCATATGGGACTGCGATGGGACTTTATCGCCAAGAATCAATTGCCAGGTCAACCAGACAGATTATTCCATGTCCCTGCACTTTCCTCAATTCTCGGACCTCAAGATACACTTGACCTATCTTTATGCCCAGTGAGAGCACTCAAAATCTATCTACAACGATCCAAAACGAGGCGACGACAACTCAAGCGGTTATTCAACCCTCTATTGACAGCGACTCAGACCGAAGTCTCTCGTACCACCATATCGATATGGATCAGAACTGTCATACTTCGTGCCTACAAGGCTGCAGAGCCCTCCAAGAGCATCTAATCCCCATGAAATCAGAGCACTGGCTTCCACACTCGCTCTACACGGAAATTGCTCGTTGAATACCATTATGGAGGGCTGCTTTTGGAAATCCAACATGGTGTTTGCTAACCACTAGCTGAGAGATATCACCACCAAGGACGTCTCAGGTATTCACCATTTCGGTCCCATGGTCCTCGCACAGCAGTTGACAGTCCCTCGTAGACGATGAGACATAGTCTCATGAGATTATTATGTATATATCATACCAGTATCATCTAGCTTATAACTCTACGGAGTTTTGTGCTATTATATACATATCTTAAGTCTATATTAGTCTTAAGCCCAGTACTGATGCTATATGTACTTTGGGTCGCTTCTCCACTTTGGAGTCGCTTTTATACCATTATTACTATTATCATAGTATCTATATATTGTAGTACCCCCATCTATGGCAGCTGGTAGAACTTATGTTTTATAGCAGCAGGAATTAGCTTAATTACAGTGCCATTATGAAGTTCCCGTAGGGGGTTATTACTTATACAGAAATCACTAATTATTTAAATCCAAAGTATTCTGTTTCCCACCTCCGTTTCTGTAGGATTCTACAAGCCAAAGAGCATGAGTCAGGATAAGGAAAAATATGTAATTTTCTGAATAAAATTGATATTTTATACTTATCCTGACTCATGAGGTAAGCCCTCCCATCCTCCCCACATAACACTTTGGATTTCCCTGTAAATTCAAGTGTTGGGCTCGCTATATCAGGAGAGAGTGAAGCATGAGGGAAGAGGTGGCGCCTCCTTTCCCGCGCATTTGGAAGAGGGAGGCAACTCTTGGTGAGTACTAATTAGTGATTTTACATTGAAGGGAGCTTCAATTAGGGAGATACAAGTGTTCCACTATGTTCGCAAGAAGGAGAAGACAAGCGAAAGAGCATGAGTCAGGATAAGTATAAAATATCAATTTTATTCAGAAAATTACATATTTGTTCAATTGTAAAACAATGTCAGCTCAGTAGGTGTAATGTTGGAGGAAATATGGAAGTAATGTATTCTTTATATCCTTTACTTCTAAGGGAAGCAACTCTGCACATGGAATTAGTTGGTAAAATTTATAAAAAATGGAGATTTCAAGTCCTGTTTATATTCTTTTGGCATTTTATGAAATGTTGGAATTTACTCCTAGTAACCAACCAAACAAAACTCTTCTTTAATTGCCAGTTGCCTATGAATATTACATATTGTGTCCACTTTTCATGCTTTCAGTAAATATGTTCTTTTGCATTGTTTTGATCAGACAAAGAAACAAAATTGTGATTTTTGTTGGTGTAAATGTCATGTTGTTGTAGGGGTAATTAATAGAAATAGATTAACTAGAGATACTTGGCCTTGATTCCGCAGGTGTCTCATATTGCGGAGGGTCATCCATGGACCCCAAGACCCTCGTTATGGCGAGGGATGTTTGTATATCTTTCATCATTCCAGTTTTTATTATTAGTGGGTCCTGAAAAGTCAATCAAAACAACTCCTCTCATCGGAGGAAGAGAAAGCACTGTATAAAAATTGTCAGTTACAAGTCCATACAAACTTGGGACAAGAACTGATGAAAGTGTTGTTAAATTCAGCATGAAATCAGACATTAACCATGGTTGTAAATGAAAACATACAATGTCTGCTATTTCCCTGTCATGGCTGTTCAGAGTTATCTGCTGCTTCCAGTGTCGATGGAGGACCACAGTGATGCTGACTGCCTCATGGTGGCCATCTCGTCACATGGGGATGAGTACCAGTATGTAGATCCTGAACGATCGAACGTCACCAAGCGGGAAGACCTCATCCTCACGACTGACAAAGCCATATTCACTCGAGACCTGGTGGACATTTTCAGGGATGAACATTGTCATTCACTTAAAGGCAAACCAAAGATATTCTTACTTCAGGTATGCTTTCTAACAGTAGAAATATACAACTCTAACACATTTCATACACTTTCTCAGTAAAGTACAGATTCTAGTACTTTTTATTTGGTTGAGTCCCATCCGGGATTTGAAAACCACACTCTCAGAATCAGGCACATAATTGCCAGCAAGCAAAGTCAGCCGTCTACCCCGCTCAGCTACCTGACTTTGTGTGCTGGCGATGAGGTGTTTGACTCTGAGGGTGTGGGTTCGAATCCTGGATGGGACTCAACCCAACAAAACACACTGGAATCTGTACTTTACTGACAAAGTGTAATCCCAACTATAACATGTGTCACATTTGATCACTTTCTAAACGGCCTGGTGTATTCAAATATACAACTCAAAGGAAAGTTAAAGTTTCCAATGTTTATCCTATGGGAATGAGAGAAGGACAATGATTTTGGTGTATTCAGTCATACAGCCTGAAACTTAATAATGTTTTTGAAGTTGCATAAGTAGGAAACAGATTCTAAGTGTCACTCCCCGATCTGGTAAGTGATTCTGTGGTGGTAGGGATGAAAGGTGAGGTGAGGTGAAATTGGATTAAACATTGTGCTTGAGAATATTTCGCTCATATGACGACGTGCATGTTTATGTGTATGTGCGGCTGCTTGTACTAGCCCAGACTGAAGTTGGTTTTATAGTGCTAGCCCACTGAGATACCATGCCGCAGTGAAGCATGAATACCCCACTCAGACACATTATACTGACTCCGAGCCGACCAGTCCTTGTTGTACCCATTAATGCCGAGCGCCAGGCAGGGACCAACAAGTACCATATTTTAACGTCTTTTGGTATGACGCGGTCGGGGATCGAGCCCGCGACCTTCCGCTCTCCCGACGGACGCTCTAACCACTACACCACGGAGGCGGTCAGGGATGAAAGGCCATTAGGAAGTGATCTGTAGTGTGATGTTCTCAGTGTGGCACCATCAAGAGCTAGGATCCCATTTTACCGAGATTACTTTAACGGTAGTTAGGTCAAGGGGAATTACTGTAAGCTTCTCATGGCTTGCCATTCATTCACTCAGAACAGATGGTCTTGTCATTTCATCAGTGCAGTTTGATCTACTCCCATCAGTAGTGTAATAAAGTAAAGTCTTGCCCTGAACTGTTATAGTTAAAGCATGGTGATTTTGGCTGACTGAAGCAGCTGCAAACCATGCAACGGGCTGCTGACTGAGTTAGTTACACTGTAGGAGACTGTCCAAGGCAATGACTACTGACGTGTATCTTGACGTTGATTACCAAGGGTATGTTTGCTTACAAGAGCGCAGACTAGAATGGTGTAGTGACTTCAGTTCCGTAAATGTGACGTCATGTAAAGAGTGTACTTTATCACCTGATAAGGTACTGTTGGTGTCTTTGAGCTTTCAGCTAAACATCTGAGAATCTTTCACTGTTGTTGAAATTTGATTTGAGGCAATGTAACGATTTACAAATATCAACAGTTGCTCAATACTGGTATGTCCAGCACTTCAACAGGTGACTATCAGGGGAGATAACTCTTAGTGATGACCTGGCTTATAGTGTAGAAACCATGATCATTTTGAGAGTTGGTCAGTTAAGTCTAGAATGCAGATCCATGAAGATTCAGGTTAGAAGTGGTCTTCAGCAATCCATGCTTGTCGTAAGAGGTGACTAACGGGATCGGGTGGTCAGGCTGAATATTGCTGTGTGTGGCGTTAAACAACAACTAACCAATCAAAGTCTGATATTCTGCAGGCATGTCGAGGCACCAAGTTAGACGACGGGGTTGAGATCCTGGAGGAAGATATGGACGTGGTAGATGCATTGGACGAACCAGAGTATACAGTAACACCCCCTCCCTGCTTCAAGGACTTCTGTATTGTGTATGCCACTCCCCCAGGTATGTCAGTATTTCACCTGTATCTCTAACTGAACCCAAGATGATATCTGGATCCATGCTTGGGTATTGAATCTGTTTGTCAAAAGCCAAAATCATCAATAAACTGAAAAGGACAATTTGTCTGGTCAACATTCAACAATGGACAGTTGGATATGACAGCAAGTTTAGAAGTGTGTAGCTCATCTGGCTGAAACATGAGCTTATGTTAGTTATAATCTTGTTTATACATACATTGGTCAGTTAGGTTTATCTCCTTGCCTACGATAGAAAACGCATGACATGCATGAGAAATGAATTATCTTGTCTACAGGTAGGCTCAATGATATTAACATCTTGTATGTATGCAAATATTTCACTATTATCCAATCGAAACCCAATATGCCAGGTTACGGACTTTCGTTTCAAAGACATTCATGTTTGAATAAAATGACACCATATCAACATTATCAAAGCATAGCATTACTGTTCTAATATTCTTTTTTCTTTATCTTATTGGAACTTGATCTGATAGCACCATTTGGTTGCCACAATGTGAAAGCCCACACTCGATAGCTAGGATTCAGTTGGAGCAGGTTTTCCTTTTTCCCCGATAATTCACGCCACGATGATTTTACGGGAGCTTTAATCACTCTCGCTTTCTTGTCGAAGGACAGCAGGCCTGTCACGGTGATTGATTTAATTAGGGTCAAGTGCCTCACTTTGTACCTCAGAGCGCACCCGTCTCACATACAACTCACTCACTCACTCACTCACATAGGTGCTCTATTTTTCTGTTATTGGTAATGTGATTATTTTCCAGGTCATTTTGCATTTCGGCGGCCATCAGAAGGGTCCTGGTTTGTAAAAGCTTTCTGGGATGTTGTGGAAAAAGTGGACCTGTCTCGTGTGGATTTTTTACGTTTGGTGACGCAGGTTATACACCAGGTGGCGTTCTCCTTCCAGTCGTCAGCCGATGATCCAAGAATAGATGCCAAGAAACAGTCAGGGTGTATCTATTCAATGTTGACCAAGGATGTTTACTTCACACCCAAACAAGAAGCTTATGAGTTGATGTTATGAGTGCTGGTGAAAATTCTTCCACTACATCCGGTTATGCAGTTATGTAGTAGACTGTCGGTATTTGACATATGACATCTGTGTCTCTATGAGCTGCCATACACAAATGTGAATCTGTGAACGGCTGATCACAGATATTGGCTCTTACATACGAAATCCCATCAGATTTTAGCTGCCATATTGAAAGCAGCGTATTTTGCCTTTTAATGAGTTATTTGTAACTGTATCATTGTGATATATTTTAGATCACAAACATACATACTTTGTTGGTATGAGCTGCCAAAGTAGTACTGTGTGGGCCATACTTGTTTTCATCAATTGTTGAATTTTGGCTTGATCCCTAAACAGAATATCTTTTATATTTTATAACTGGCTGAGAAAGATCCTTTGACTTTTCAGAATTTGTGCATATGTGATCCAGACAATGGCAGTGTTCATTCAAGCGTTTCTAAAAGTGAGCCCATGGCCCACCAGCCCTCAGTTATGTGGGTATTTTCGAAAATATTGTGGGTCATGTCAAATTGCTGTGACTTTTTAGCCATCCACTACTAGTTAATAGTATGAGTTCACTTCCTTTTATAAACTTTCAGTCCAGGTGAGGTCAACACGAGAAACCAAAGACGCACTTGAGTTTTGCTTGAGTTGCTAAGTGAAAACAAACTTGTGATGTGTTTCAGACATACATTTAAGGATGCGCCGACACGACCTAATCATACCTGTACAGTATGCCAAGTTAAACATTGGTGTACGAATGGCGCACGGGCTCGGTCTAGAATGAACACTGAATGGTGTTCCTAATATGAATTCACAGAATTCTGATCCCACCTCGAACATGACCGCCATGGAATCATGCTGGTCAGAAGCACCAATGTCAGAGTTTGAGAGGTACCATGACAACAAACTGTTAAGTACCTGTAGTTCTGAGACCATCTTTAAGTGGCAGGTGGTCCTAACACTACATGACAAGCCTACAATCAACAGTAGGTCAATTGGAAGTTTACAGGATGTTCATTTGGATGAGTGCCAAATCATATCAGTGACAAATTAGTGCTCATAAGGAAATCAGTGATGTATTTTGAAATGTATCACTGGACTATATTCTAGAAATGAAGTCAACACTGACAGACTACTTTCACATTCCTGAGGAATCCCCTGGGAATTCTCCAGTGTCTATGAATACCAAACCATTGTTAAGTTCTTAACGAGACTTTCATTTCCTTCTCAGGGTTTTGACACATATTAGAAAAAGTCAGTGTTTTGAATACATCCATGACAGAATATCTTTGATATGATCCATACTAGTGGACATGACAATAGAAGCATACTAAAACTGAGAGCCCTCTGTAGTTATCCAAAATCTTATTTCAGCACTTGGAACTTCACCAAAAATGCTATGGAATGCCTTGTTCTTTCATAATACCATAGTTAATTTGTCATAGATTATATATAGTGATATGAAAGAATCGGTGATCCTTCTTTTTGTTTAATAATATGTATTATATTTGTATATAACACAACTTTCTAACCATGCTATTGGTCAATTATCCTGTGAACTCTCATTCAACGAAGGGTCATATGTCAAAGGAATCAAACTGAAACTCTGAAGATCAGTTCTTGTTTTGCTCATATCGTTGTCAGAATTGTCAGATATTTCTCCCTTTTAACTTTTCAAAATGTTTATCAATAAGTCAAAATACACAAATGAGCAGATTTTTATACTTTGCAACAATGATATCAATTCAGGAGAAACAATTCAAGGGAGACAATCCAAACTCTGGTCCCTGAATGGCATTTAGAAGAGATATACATAAAGATGAGAGTTTTATGGATGTCAGCTGCTTTATTCACCTCATGAAGGAGTAAGGATATATTCCGAAATGTTATGTTCCATATAATAAAGAAGTTGACATCCATAAAACTCTCTTCCTTAATCCAAAATCTGATCGCCTTTCTGTTGTGTTGAAGTATTCTGGAATCAGTTTGATCAAAAGTTTTATGGCCATTGTCTGTGTGGACAAAAGTCACATGCCAGTATATATGGAACCCCCGCTTGCCTTAGGTTTGGTGCTCAGTGCTGCTTCTTGTATTTACATAAGTTATTCCAATTACCGTTATGTATTTTTGAAAATACAATAAGATGTTGTTGATAAACATAACTGTGTTTACAGTGTCAAGTTTGGTGCACAGAAATAGATTCTATTACTTATATTTTCTCTGATTTATCATATTCTATGCAACTTTATACTTTTTATGAAGATTTGTGTATGTTTTGTTATTTATTTCATGTGTACTGAAAAGTGTTGCATTTTCACTTGCCAATTCTTATGGGTTTTTTTTCAATCATTCTCAGGCAGCTGAATCATTTGATATTATCATGAAATGCTGTTGTGGAGGGAACATATCCTGGCTAGAAATCTTAACTTTTCTTTCATTTCAAGCTGAATGGTACAGATAGGTAAGTGGTACCTACAGGTTTGGGGCAGATAGGTCCTGTAATTTGTTTCTCAGTGACTTTTTATCCTGTTGCTTGTCTTACCAGACACAAAATACTGTATATCCTATTCTCATAAAAAGTTTGAATGGGTGAGTGAGTGAGTTTAGTTTTACACCGCTTTTAGCAATATTCCAGCAATATCACAGTGGGCGACACCAGAAATGGGCTTCAGACATTGTACCCATGTGAGGAATCGAACATGGGTCTTCAGCGTGACGAGCGAACGCTTTAACCACTTGGCTACCCCACCGCCCCAGTTTGAATGGATGCAAATAATATACAATATAAGTCTCAAAAAGGCCACAAGAATCATATTACTCAAAAGAAGTTAAGGAACACCACATATTTTTCATATGACTGTCATTCCAGATTAACTGTAGCCTTTCAAAAAATATGGTTTCTTTAAATTTGTTTTGGGTGCTATATGTCCTTTTCAGTCATGATAGTGAGTGAGTGGGTTTAGTTTTAAGCCGCTCTTAGCAATATTCCAGCAATATCACAGCAGGGGACACCAGAAATGGGCTTCACTTTGAATCAGAATAAGTACCGGTAATTATAAATTTGATTGATATTATTGTTGACAAAAGGTACAAAGAAAGTTAGTTCATTTCTAATATTTTACAATCAGTCACCAGATGAAGTACACCTTTTAGGTTGTTTCAATAGTCAGCAGTCCAGTCATATGTGCCACTCTTAGCATGAGACCCCAGTTTATGTGCCCAAACTCTCTGAAAATATTTTCAATCTGGAAAATATTTTCCTGGTCAGGTATGGGCACCTTGTCATTTCTGTGATATTTTTCATTTTATTTTAACATATATATACTACTCAAATTTGCTAAGGATAAAAATACCTTTAGTCAAAGGTGTGGTTGTCAGCAAATGATAATTAATATATTATTGTGTAATCCTGTATTGCTGCACTGTCATTAGTTATATTTCAAAGGATATTGTAGGATTCAGTACTATTTCCTAGGTGATACATTCATACTGTCTGCACCATTCCATTTTGTAGGATCAGATTAGAGATTGGGAGATCCGAACCTCCTTTTGAGATTTGAGGTAATCTCACTGCAGAATTCATGCCTCTTCTTTCTGTTTTGGAACCAAACTCTTTAGCATGTATATTGTACGAAAAAGTTTGATATAGGGGTATCCATTGGAAATCATATACCTCATTGTAACCAATCAAAATCTAGTATTCTTCAGAGTCTTGGAAGAATTATCATTATTCAACACATTGTATGTCATAATTCCCCAGGTGACCTTGTCAGTATGGAGCATGTTGTTCGGCCCTGATAAATGATCTGTTTAGTTTGTTTGTTTTCACAGTGCCTCTTTAAACCAGTGATTGTTGATTTGATGTTAGTAGATTGTATGCGTAAATGTTTCACTGAATGAAAAACGTTTGTATGTATTTGGGAGTGAGTATGATTTTATGCCGCTTTTAGCAACTTTTCAGCAATATCACATGGGGAACACCAGAAATGGGCTTCACACATTGTGCCCATGTGGGGAATCAAACCCGGGTCTTCCGCGTGTTGAGCGGGCGCTTTAACCATTAGGCTACCCCACCGCCCGCTGTATTTGGGATGTCATCATATTCTTATGTTTTCTTATACATGTATATATGTATTTATTTTATATATCTGTGGTATAGTTAGGTATTTCTTTGTGGTTCCAGTGAATCTGTATTTGTTTCAGTTGTTTTACTTTTATGTGATTTAGTGCCATTGTTTTCTGTTGAATAACAATATTGAGTTTGTCCCTGTTGATGTATTACTATAGTCATTATAGATACTGGTTGTTATCATGATTATACGGATTACACAAACCCTGTGTACAAATTCATGTATTACAAGGAATGGGAAAAACAAGATTTGTGACAGTTGATTGTGTGGTCCAGACACGATTATTGACAGACTGCCATCATACAGCTGGAATATTGCTGAGTGTGAGTGAGTGAGTATAATTTTACGCCGCTTTTAGCAATATTCCAGCAATATCACGGCCGGAGACACCAGAAATGGGCTTCACACATTGTGCCCATGTGGGGATTCGAACCCGGGTCTAGGCTACCACTAGGCTACCCCACGGCCCCTGCTGAGTGTGGCTTTAAGCAACATACACACAAAACCTTCAAACAATCCAGGCTCACCTTTCACCTTTCAACATTTTAGGCTGTAGTCTCGTCACAGACTTGTGATCAACTCTTCAAAGCCAGATACTTACGCACGTGTCATTTGATTGGACCAAGTTTATTGTGAATTGATATGCTCATATTTGTTATGCAATTTTAAATTATTTAATTTTAGTCACAGCCATGTACATTTACTTTTTTAAAAACACCATTTGTTATTGTTTCTGTGTATGTTGTATCTACTATATGTACTTTTTGTCCTCAATAATCACAAATTAATAAATTATCTATTCTCATATACAACTTGTCTGTTATAATTGAAGTCAGTATGTGACAATGTTTGTTTATTTGTTGTTGAATGCCACATTTGGCAATATTCCATCTGTATGCCAGGAGTATTTACATGCAAAGACTTTTGAGAAGTGAGACAGTATTCCTGTTTCTAACATTACTTCAACCTTAATCTTACTTCCGGGTTGAAATTTGGCCCCAGGGGCCCTATCCACAAAATGTTCATAGCAGTAAGCCATTTGTAAGATGATGATAAAGTATGTCGTAACATTACGAACCCTTTGTGGACCAGGACCCAGGATCCTATGCTGACTGTAAGAGACCACTTTGTGGATTGGATGGTCAGTGCCGGTAACTTGGTTCATTTTGTGTCATTGTTCACATGCAGCTTTAATTGCCTGGCTGCAGTCTTATTCTCATTTGTGTGGGTTCCGTGTTGAAATTAGGCACCAGGACCCTATGCTGACTGTAAGAGATAATATTGTTGATGCTTTTATTGCCTGGGCCTTAATTCTCGAAACGTTCGTAGCCCTAAGAATTCTTAACTTTGATTGTAGCCAATGTGTTAAGAATGGGCTTAAGAAGTTCGTAGGGCTACGGACGTTTGAGTATAGCTAGCTTGGTCTAGACACAATTATTTACAGGCGGCAGAATGCCATTTAGAAAGTGGTCATATGTAACATATGCTATATTGGGGATTACACTTTCCCAGTAAGGCCATCACACAATATCAGCGATCTAACCCACTCAGCCACCACAGTTAGATGGCTGACTTTGTGTACTGGTGATAAGGTCCTGACTGAGAGTGTGGGTTCGAATCTCAACTCAACCTAACAAAAATACTAGAATCTGTACTCTTTACTGAGAAAGTGTAATCCCAAATATAACATGTTGCAGTCTTATAGCTGGAATAATACTAAACATGACATTAAACAACAAACTACAAACATTTTCTGAATATAATTATACATACTGGATTATTTTTGTTTACCTTTAGTCAGTTACCATGAAGAATAATTAAACAAAGTCTCCATGTTATGATTCACGGGGAGAGAAATAACTGTATTACTTGTTCCCATCTGTCTTATGTAGTTTGTTTTTGACAGGTGTTCACACAGATTAGTCTGGTGGCTGAGTGTAATGTCGACACACCAATAAAACAACCTAGGCTTAGATTTGAAACTGAAAATACTCAGATATATACATCAATGGTTTGCAGTTTTAACACCAAATCAAGGAGTTAAAAAGACTTAATTTTGAACATTTATCAAAAGTTTCTAGACAGCTATTCATTCTCAGTATTATCCTTGTGCTATTTCTTGTGGTTGTTACGTCTAAGCTATTATCAGAAGTTCTTTCTTTTAGAATATTCTTGTGACAAATTTGTTTTCATTGAAACACCAAGTTTGTTCCTTTTCATAGCAAGATAACATACTAATGAATGTGTTATTTTATAGAAACATATTTCCTTGCCTACAGTGTAAACTTTAATAGTATTCAGCTGTGTAGAGTGGGCACAATACATGAAGGCAATAAATAGAATGTGTTTTGAGGTTTTCCTCAGACAGTACTACATACATCACTGGAAACTGAATGTCAACCAAACCATACTGCAAATTGTAATGCTATATCTGTGGTTACAAAACATGTTCTTTGTATATCTAGACTATATTAATAATTATGCATGTTTATAAATATATTAATACAAAAATATCTCACCTGTACATCGGTACATTATCTATTTAATGAATTATGCATGTTTATAAATATATTAATACAAAAATATCTCACCTGTACATCGGTACATTATCTATTTAATGAATTATGCATGTTTATAAATATATTAATACAAAAATATCTCACCTGTACATCGGTACATTATCTATTTAATGAATTATGCACGTTTATAAATATATTAATACAAAAATATCTCACCTGTACATCATGTAGCCGTATTACTTTAAGCTGTACGTATCACGGCTTGGTATATCTGCAATATTGTAATCTTGGTAACCAATAAAAAAATATATATATATACAAAAAATATTAATAATTAGTAATAGTAATAGTCCGCTCATATCCAGGCACATTACCTGCTACGTACATTATTTAATTGTATTTAAAGTTTCTTATTATTGTATGTATTAATATAGCACAATCATGATTGGCAGATTGTAAAAAAAGCTTATTTACAGCAGCCACAATCAGATTACGACTATTGATTGGCCTTTCAGGTTGGGTGAGATACGATGATCCCACACACTACATACAGTGGGCTAGGAGAGGCAGGCTGTGTGGTTACAATGAACTCTATATAAGGTCCTTCAACAGTACTTCAGTTGCAAGACAACACTGAACTACTTGGGACCTGGAGAAGAAAATGCAATCACAGGTGTTATACATTACAATATGACCATACCTGACTTCCTACTGGGGTATACTGTACAACACTGTCAGACAAAATGTTTATAAGTACATTTTAGAAGTACATGTCGCAGATTTCCTTCTGGATATTAAAAGATAAAATTGTAGTGTGTTTAAACATTAACATAGTGCCAAGCCAATCAATGTCCAATGAGAGACAGTACATATTTTCTCTACAGGATTAATGCTGGTAATTTACCCAAAGGTTAAGACTAACTATGATATAATATAGTGTAATGTGAAATACAGATCTGTTTATCAACACATGTACTGCTATCACTTATAGACTAATACTTAACACTGTTTTTCAGGGGTATGTAGAAGCTGTAGGTGCCACAGATGATCCAGTTGTCAGAGGCGTTGCTGTGACTGCTGAATCGTATCTCTCAAACACTTGTAATCATGGGTTCAAACCCTGTTATATGTTTCTAGTCTTGTTATCACCTCACCTTTTTCTAGTCTTGGGTCACCTTTGAAGCTGTAGGTGACCCACAGATGTTTCCAGTCTTGTTAGACCTCACCTTGTTTCTAGTCTGTTATGACCTCACCTTATCACCTTATCCTCACCAACACTTGTTAATCATGTTTCTAGTCTTGTTATCACACCTTGTTTCATCACTAGTCTTGTTATCACCTCACCTTGTCTTGTTTCTAGTCTTGTTATCACCTCACCTTGTTTCTAGTCTTGTTATCACCTCACCTTGTTTCTAGTCTTGTTATCACCTCACCTTTCTTGTTATCACCCTCACCTCACTCACCTTGTTTCTAGTCTTGTTATCACCTCACCTTGTTTCTAGTCTTGTTATCACCTCACCTTGTTTCTAGTCTTGTTATCACCCTCACCTTGTTTCTAGTTATCACCTCACCTTGTTTCTAGTCTTGTTATCACCCTCACCTCACCTTGTTTCTAGTCTTGTTATCACCCTCACCTTGTTTCTAGTCTTGTTATCACACCTCACCTTGTTTCTAGTCTTGTTATCACCTCACCTTGTTTCTAGTCTTGTTATCACCTCACCATGTTTTTTCTAGTCTTGTTTCTAGTCTTGTTATCACCTCACCATGTTTCTAGTCTTGTTATCACCTTGTTTCTAGTCTTGTTATCACCCTTTGTTTCCCTTCACCTTGTTTAGTCTTGTTATCACTAAACTCAGTCAGTTCTAGTCATCCTCACCTTGTTTCTAGTCTTGTTCTTGTTATCACCTCACTAGTCTTGTTATCACCTCACCATGTTTCTAGTCTTGTTATCACCTCACCTTGTTTCCTCACCTTGTTTCTAGTCTTGTTATCACCTCACCTTGTTTCTAGTCTTGTTATCACCTCACCTTGTTTCTAGTCTTGTTATCACCTCACCTTGTTTCTAGTCTTGTTATCACCTCACCTTGTTTCTAGTCTTGTCTTGTTTTATCTTGTTATCACCTCACCTTGTTTCTAGTCTTGTTATCACCTCACCTTGTTTCTAGTCTTGTTATCACCTCACCTTGTTTCTAGTCTTGTTATCACCTCACCTTGTTTCTAGTCTTGTTATCACCTCACCATGTTTCTAGTCTTGTATATCACTAGTCTTGTTATCACCTCACCTTGTTTCTAGTCTTGTTATCACCTCACCTTGTTTCTAGTCTTGTTATCACCTCACCTTGTTTCTAGTCTTGTTATCACCTCACCTTGTTTCTAGTCTTGTTTCTAGTCTTGTTATCACCTCACCTTGTTTCTAGTCTTGTTATCACCTCACCTTGTTTCTAGTCTTGTTATCACCTCACCATGTTTCTAGTCTTGTTATCACCTCACCTTGTTTCTAGTCTTGTTATCACCTCACCTTGTTTCTAGTCTTGTTATCACCTCACCATGTTTCTAGTCTTGTTATCACCTCACCTTGTTTCTAGTCTTGTTATCACCTCACCTAGTCTTGTTTCACCTAGTTTCTTGTTATCACCTCACCTTGTTTCTAGTCTTGTTATCACCTCACCTTGTTTCTAGTCTTGTTATCACCTCACCTTGTTTCTAGTCTTGTTATCACCTCACCTTGTTTCTAGTCTTGTTATCACCTCACCTTGTTTCTAGTCTTGTTATCACCTCACCTTGTTTCTAGTCTTGTTATCACCTCACCTTGTTTCTAGTCTTGTTTCATCAGTCTTCAGTCTTGTTATCATTGTTTCCTCACCCTTGTTTTATCACCTCACCTTGTTTCTAGTCTTGTTATCACCTCACCTTGTCTCAAGGGTTCATCAAGTGGTAAACATCTAACATGTTCATTACTTTTGACATTCCTCCAATGTAATTTGACAAGGTGTGTAATGCAGGGGCGGATACAGGATTTTCGTTTGGGGGTGCACCCCAATCCTCGGAACCCTGGGCATAAAACATGTAAAACACCCCCGCACCCCCCCTCTGGATCCGCGCATGTAATGTATCATTAATACTTTTCAGAGCGGTGTAAAACCTCACTCACTCACTCACTTTATCTTCAGAACAGTTGTCACCATACGGCTGAATTATTGCTGATGTGACGTAAACTATTAACTCACTCACTCTTTCAGTATAATGTTTCAGTACAGATGCTTCACTATTTAATAACAGTTGTTCACACAGATTTCATGCAATTATTATGATACGGGTCTTGGGTCCAAGTGATGTATTCTATATTTATATTTTCCTAATATCTGAATCCTAATATATTGCTTGTAGTGGTAATAATGAATAATGAATTTTGTATGAATTATTATTCCATGATACAATCATTGTCTTAATGGCTTCATCTCTAGGCTTCATACTTCATCATCGCTAAGTTGGTTTTCCAATCTGTGTGTACTAGTAAACTTTGATGTAAAACCATTTCCTACATATTTGTTGATCAGTTGCTTGATAAAAATAGCATCTGCAGTGAAAAGACAACATAAATATAAAGAAGATGAAATTCATGTCAACATTACATGAAATACATTAAATGAAGCAATTGGTTATTAAATAAATAATCATCAAACTTTTTCTTCTTGTTTGAAACTTTAATAATGTCAATATAAGGGGAACTGTACAGTAATCAATTAAATTCAGTTGTCACGAGTTGATAGGTTTATAAAAATGCTGTAACTGTAAACTATAAACTACCTACCCTTTGAACCATACCAGTTTGAACATTATCTACTCCTCTAAAGAAATAAATTATGATGTATGGCTTGTCCCTAAAGAAATATATTATTATGAATGGCTTGTCCTCTAAAGAAATATATTATGAGGCCTGTGAATGGCTTGTCTGCATTCAGAACTTTAATTGAAAGGATCTCTGTTTGATAGTTGCTACTATATTCGGTTCTATGTCAAAGATCTTGAACGTCGTCATATGAGCGAAATATTCTCAAGCACGATGTTAAACCCAATTTCACGTCACCTCACCTCAAAGATCTTGACATTTCCATGACTGAAATAGAAATACCCAGTACATTTGTTCAAACTTGTTTGACCCATTAATCATTACCAGGTCCTGGAGTAAGATAAAGGGGTGCTGATTGTAATTCTTATAGAGTTGTTGTGTCCTGGTAGTTTACTGAGTGTTGTTAGATACCTTGTGAAACAACAGGATGTAGACTTGTCTTGCACAACGCTGTTTCACCAGGTGTACATTCCTCCACTGATATCCTGACGCAGGTATACATGTGAGCTATTTCAATCTTGTGAACAGGACCTGGTTTAAAGATGACTGATGATTCGGAAGATGCAAGGTTTTATAGCTGTGAGTAGTATCCTAGGATGTTTATAAAGAAACGTTTATCTTTAACCTAAACCTGAATTGTTGTTATACTGAAATAATGGTCAAAAGTATTTTATTAAACCGTAACTCCAAATATATATATATGTATCTATGTGTGAGGTATTTTATGTGGCTATACATCAGATTCTGGTGGAACGTTGCAGAGGTTTTACAGAGAAGCAGTGTATATGCTCTTGTTGTGAACCTTTACAACACAGGGGAAGTTACAATGGACACAATGGAAGCCATATTTGAAAATATTAATTTTAATTTAGGTAACTGAATTATGAAGGTATCACAGTGTGATCATTATACACCAGAGATGGACTGACTGACTGAGTATGGTTTTAAGCTGCTTTTTGCAATATTCCAGCAATATCACGGTTTGGGACACCAGAAATGGGCTTCACACATTGTACCCATGTGGGGATTCGAACCCGGGCCTTCGGCGTGACGAGCGAACGCTTTAACCATTAGGCTACCCAGGTTTTACAGGGAAAGCAGTACTTATGTTCTTGTTCTCAACCAATACAAGATGGGGGAAGTGTCTTTTGACCTTACTTCTGGCTTACAATAGCATTTAATAGTGTCAAGTATAAACTTTAATATCAGGATCATTGGGTTTTTTTACTTTATTTTCTTGTTTATTTATTTTCTTTGTTGATGTGCATGAGGAAAAATGAATTTATTGTTTTGAACTTTCCCAAAAAAATTGAATTTGCCAAAAAAATAGAAAAAAAATAAATCACAATAAAAAACATAGTGAAGGTAATCACCTTTCAATCTAGCAAATCTTATGAAAATACTTTTTTATGAAATGTTTGGCATGTTCATCCATCAAACAATAAAAACATGAACTGGTGTAAATAATGTTCACAAAAAGTAACCTGTATTGTCTTATTGTCCCCCTATTTTATCAATAGATGAAGAAGAAGAGAAAGAGGTGAAGCCGGAGTCTGACCGGTATGATCTGGGACATCCGGATCGGGCGTGGCTCTGATTGTGTGCAATGAGTCTTTCTCAAACAGCATGCCTCGAGCAGGAGCACATCATGATGTGGAATACTTTAAGAAGATTTTCCAGAAACTTGGCTTCAAGGATATACGTGACAAGTATAATCTGACAGCTGATGATATGCTTGATTGGTTCACTGCAGGTAATTTGAATATGACGTACCGTATTCACTGTAGTTAGCACTCTGGGCACTAGTATAACTGACAAAAGGGGTGCTTAAAACAAAAGTTGTTTTCAGAGATCAAGAGGTAATGAACCCACCTCATGTTTTTATCCAACTTTCAGTATAGGTGCTTACAATGATTTATCATGGTTCGGTCGTTTGGACAGGAGGTGCTGACTGACTGACTGAGTTTGGTTTTACGCCTCTTTTAGCAATATTCCAGCAACATCACGGCGAGGGACACCACAAATGGGCTTCACACAATGTACCCATGTGGGGATTCGAACCCGGGTCTTCGGCGTGATGAGCCAACGCTTTAACCACTAGGCTACCCCACCGCCCCGGACAGGATGTGCTTATTGAGACAAGCCATCTATTCTGCTGAATACGATATATGAGATGGATTTGCTCTGTGTAGTCTTCACCAAGTTGATACTGGTACAGTTGGGCTTATAACAAGAAGTCATTATAAGTGACCTGCCGTGATATGACTAAAGTACTGGTAACAGTGATGTTTTATCTCACATCACACCTACAGATTATTCTGAGATTATCACATGCCACTTTAAAATTGATGAACAGAACTGTAGTGAGAATTAAATATCTGTTACAGTATCTCAAGAAGATCACAGTCAGCGTGACTGTCTGGCTGTTGCTATTACCTCCACGGAGAGAAGTATACTCAAGTTGATCCTAAGAGGTACAATGTCTCCATTGATCGAGATATCATCCTCGGCTCACAGGGGGCAGTTTACACAGAAGAGCTGGTGGACATGTTCTCTGATAGGAATTGTCCCTCCCTGGCCCGCAAACCAAGACTGTTCCTGCTGCAGGTATGTTCTGGAGTGAGAGAAATAATATTGCTTAATGCACTATCATCAGAGTGAGAGAGTGAGTGAATACTGCTAAATGCACTCTTATCTTACCGTATCTTGCAGATATTCTTGGCGAGGTATATCCAAAAGCTGAGAGGTACAAATGAAAACGAATCATCCTAAACTGTCTTTCACAAGAAATACCACTTACCTGGTAGGTGAGAGAGAGATCAAGTGATACTTCCCTGGAGATAGCGCTACAGTGAAATTGCATCACAATACTCTTGAGACCATTATGACATCATCAGTTACCATGACATCAGAATGACATGATGTCACTAGTAACTAATAAGCTGGTTTTCTGTACACTAATTATTTCTGATTACAAGCTGAAAAACTGAGAAGAATGATTTTGGATGATAAATAGAATTGCACCCAAGGGTCAAATATGTCAATATTCATCAAGAGTAGGACTTTTTAACTTTTTTACGACCCTTGTTGTGTATCAAGGGAGGGCACTTGCTAAGCTGTCTCTCAGACCTTAGTTCTTGAATGATTAGCCAGTTCTTGAGCTGAAAATTAACATTGTTCTGAGTTCTATAAGGATTTTATTTTGAAGATATATATTTTTAAAAAAGTAAAATTCTCTATATAACTGTGATAACAAATTGGCAGTCATCCAGGTGTCTAGATGTTCAATGAACTCTAGCCTTCATGTTTGCTTGACTCCATTCATCACAAGACTGAGAGAAAAGCTCGAGAGAAAATTAAACAGGACATATAGACAGTTGCATGATAACATCTTAAAATCACACTGCATCAAGGATTTATATTTTTAAAAGTTAGTTAGTTAAGATAGTGTCACAATGTTTATTGTTTTGACAGGTTGTTATTCTAGCTGTGTTTCGAACCTATACATGCTGTTTACTGAGAATAGATCATTCAGATTGGATGAGAACAGAGTGAGCCTTTGTTCAAGGTTTTAATTGTCATACAAAGTGCAGCATGACGGTAGAATCTATTGCCACACTGACTGACTGACTGACTGAGTTTGTTTTTTACGCCGCTTTTAGCAATATTCCAGCAACATCACGGCGGGGGACACCAGAAATGGGCTTCACACATTGTGCCCATATTGCCACACTGTCAGGTGATACAGACTTCAGCACTATTGGCCACAGCCTCCTTGAGAAGGGTGATAACTATTCATAGCCTCATCGAATGTAATAGTCCAGTGGTTAAAGCCATGGCATATCACACCAACAACTGGGTTTGATTCCCCATATGCTTAGGATATGTAAAGCCTATGTATTCTGTACATGGTGCTTGAAGCAGTAGTGCCGTGGGGTAACCTTGCAGTTAAAGCATTCGCTCATCATGCCTAAGACTCGGGTTCGATTCCCGCATGGGTTTCTGGTGTGCCCTGCTGTACTTATTTATTCTTCATTCTTGAGTAGTGTAAATTATGCTGTAGCTGACACTATAACAGCATTATCTTCATGCATGATTGTCTAACGACATATGTGAAGGAATGGTTGTTTGAAACTGCTTGCACACGGATGTTTTCCAGGCCTGTCGAGGGATAAATCTGGATGATGGTGTTGAATTAATGAGGGACTTTGATGAGGTTGACGCCTTACCAATACTTGTACCTGAATATACAGTGTCCCCAGTGCCATGCTTCAAGGACTTCTGTATTGTGTATGCCACCCCTCCAGGTATGTCAGTATTACACCTGTGTCTCTAACTGAACCCAATGAGTGAGTGAGTGAGTGAGTGAGTGAATGAATGAATGAAACTTTATTTCCTCCACTGTAGGCGAACAATATGCCACTTCTCCAGGTATGTCAGTATTACACCTGTGTCTCTAACTGAACTCATCGAATGAATGAATGAATGAATGAATGAATGAATGAATGAATGAAACTTTTATTTCCTCCACTGTCTATGAAAATTTGTCAGTGTGAATTTTGTTATTTGATTCATTCTAGGATGTTTTGCATTTCGGCGGCCATCAGAAGGGTCCTGGTTTGTAAAAGCTTTCTGGGATGTTGTGGAAAAAGTGGACCTGTCTCGTGTGGATTTTTTACGTTTGGCGACGCAGGTTATACACCAGGTGGCGTTCTCCTTCCAGTCGTCAGCCGATGATCCAAGAATAGATGCCAAGAAACAGTCAGGGTGTATCTATTCAATGTTGACCAAGGATGTTTACTTCACACCCAAACAAGACGCTAATTAGGTAATATTAAATCCTGCTGTTTAATATTTGGAACAGTATCTTTTTGTCTAGAACAACTACCAACTTCCATTTTCCCATTTTTGTTAAGTGTATTAGATTTATGTGAACACTTCTGATATCTTGTCAATTCATATATTTGTCATAGGCTTGGTTTGCTAAATGTTTTTGTGAACAACTCTCACCTTCATCCAAGGAAAGAATAATAAACTTAATTAACTATTTTCTTTTCTCTATTAATTTTCCTGAAAAAGAAGTCAACTTGTCAAGACATTCGTGCTTGTCTTACAGTTTAAGTATTATATTATTGTATTAACTATTCTGTTTGTCAATGTGGAAGTTTTCATTCACAAGGCCTAAGGTGCTGAATTTGATGCATAGAGTTGCATCCCTTAGTCCAGCCAGGTTCTGCTGATCTTGGTTTGAATCCCAGATTTTCACTGATTTAGATCCTTTGTCTGTCGGTACCATGTTGGAGTAAAATGGTAACCATTTCTCCTCCAACATTAAGCTTGCTTGTATTAATATCCCTGAGGTATTGTTAACGTGACACAGGTGATTCAATGTTTTAAGTTTACATTAACTCGGTGCGCCTAGTGGTTGCAAGAGTTGTATGATCCCCAGGGAGTTGAGATTGATAATACGATGTGCCGTTTGAGACTGACATCCAATGATCGAGGGGAAAACAAAGCGCCTTTGAGCAGCTGAGCTGGATATTGGTGCTATACAAATATACATAAATAAATTAGTGTAGACACATCTTGAATGCAAGTAAGGTTTTGTCAGATAGTAGGGAGAAAACATTTCTGTGATGGAACCTAATGGCAGACCCATGTAGATCCAGGTTAGAATCGATCTTCAGTAACCCATGCTTGTCATAAGAGGTGACCAACGAGACCGGGTGGTCAGGCTCACTGACCTGGTTGACATGACAGTGCATCCCAATTGTGTAGACATGCCATGCTGTTGGTGACTGGACTGGTATTTAGTGGAATACTGTGCAGTTTGTTCTAGTTTCAGTGTCAAGTACAGTGCATCAGAGACAGCCATTGTTGACATATTTGTGGTGGTTTGTTCTTTGTGTATTGGGCGGTGGGGTAGCCTAATGGTTAAAGCGTTGGCTCGTCACACCGAAGACCCGGGTTCGAATCCCCACATGGGCACAATTTTTGAAGCCCATTTCTGGTGTCCCCTGCCGTGATGTTGCTGGAATATTGTTAAAAGTGGCGTAAAACCAAACTCAGTCAGCCAGTCTTTGTGTCAAACTGTCTTATTCAATTCTTATTACTGTGTATGCAAACATGCTTATGTAAAATATGGTAGTCTATTCCATGTTAATGGATGTACTTGTTTATTTAAATAAACAGAGCACTAGTGTTTGTTTATCTGTATTTAGCTGTATGTTTGTTTTGGTTATTCTTTATTTCTGCTGAAACCTAAGGTCAAGGGAAGGTCCCTATACACGTATTGTAAACAGTCATAAGAAAGTTGTATATTTTTACAAATATGATTATAAATAGTAATAAAAAACAACAGTTTCTCACTGCATGTTCAGTGTTAAAACCAATCAATAATCAGATGGGTACTGTAAGTAAATTATTGATACTTCACAGTACCGTAGCTACTTCTCGTTCTCTAGGGAAGTATTGGCACAACCATGGGTCACACCTCAATCTGTCTGTAATCTTAGAAGTGGTTGATAACACAGTAGTACATAGCACACCATAAACTGTGCAAGCATTCAAAAGACAAAACCTAGCTTGATAAATAGAATTTTGTAACTGTTTCTCTTCCCTATGGTCAAACAATGACAAACCAAATTAGGAAATTATTTATTGATTTTAAATGTCATCAAAATAAAGCTGAAAGTAGTGTGTAGTCATGACCTGCATAGGCGGATCCAGAAATTTTCACCTTTGCTCTGCCATTGCAAAACATTAACTTCAGTGTGGTCTTTAGTCATTTCATTTTCAAGGGGTGGGGTGGGGTGGGGTGGGGTGGGGTGGGGTTGTTTTGGTGTTTTTTTCCCGAACCCCTGAACACACAAACACCCGCCCAACCCCCAAAACACGCACGCACGCACGCACGCACGCACACACACACACACACACACCTCTCTATCTCTCTCTCTCTGGATCCGCCACTGACCTGTGTAACCTGTGCTGACTTAACCCTGAAGCAACTACTGAATAAGAAGCTATATAAAGCTACCAGAGCAATGGGGATTGACACATATTTCTTTGTAAAGACACAAACATTGTCAGTCGATACTCTTCAGGTACACATTTCTAGGTCAGTCGTCATGGGCATTTCCTAGACGGGCCAAAAATAAATCTGTGTCACTGTTTAGTTTGACAAACTTGTTTTGACTTGCTTTGTTACACTGGTATTTAATTTAAACATTGAATGATGTACCAGATATTTTAGTATCACTTTTGTTATGTCATGACATGTCAATTTTATTGGTGTGTGATATAAAATGTATAATAAAATATGTAATAACAGCAATAATGACCTTTGTTTATGCAACGTTGCACGGTCTGTTTCCACTTCCTTGAAGTTGTAAAGTAGGTGAGGTGGAGAGAGGGTCGTATACCATACCTTGAGTGAAACATGGCTGACGATTCTAGGGATCCTGATGGTAAGTAGCACAGTGAGTGAGTGAGTGAAGGGTACAGTGAGTGAGTCAGTCAGTGTGGGAGGAACTGAAGGAGAGATTGTAAGACGAACTGGCATAATGTCAGCTATGATCACTGTCCTCGGGATCAGACAACCCATGTCTCCCTACCTCAGTTCACACTGCACCATGTTGTTCAGCTCTACCCTACAGAGATTTGTTACATCAAATAGGTGGCTGCTTCGCTTGTCCAGCTGACTCCTATTTCAGTAGTCTGTTTAGAACTAGTTGTCTAATAAACTAGTTGTGCATGTCTGGAGCTGACATTGTCTAAAAGATAAATCAAGAATCGGTGAGTAGTGTACAGTTATCTCAGCCGTGAACAATAGTCTTAACTGCATCACAGTTGAGTAAATATATTCAAAGGCAGCAGTAAGTCAGTATTCTCATTAGTGATATTGAGATTTTTTCCAGGATATTACTCCAACCTAAATGCTGTGACAGGTGTTAGAGACTTCATACCTGATTAACAGCCAATATACTTTGGAAATATTACCTATTGATATTGAAGGTCAAGGTCACTCAGTAGGAAGTAGGCATGTAAATGAATGTGAACAGGATGGGTATTTGTCATTGGAATTTGACAAAACTTACAAACTTGATCTCTTGGGCAGTGTCTTGATTTCATCGATTTGGGGGTAAGGTCAAGACTACTACAGATCACATTATCAGTTTTGTTTACATATTTTAGATAAATTTTCATTGGATTATAATTACTTAATTTATTATATTGATAGTGACATTAATGAGGTTTATTGCTGACAACAACATCTACCAACATTTACACATTATACAGAATACAAAACCCCACTGTTTTTCATTTATCGATAATACAATGTATTACATTTCAATTTCCAGTGTATGTGTAAACACTGATTTGATAACAGTTAGGAGTGACTTGTTACAACATTCTTATCAGTGAAGCTTAAGAGGGATCATCTTGTTTCCAGCCTGTGTTACATCAGACATGTGTGAGATCACCTGATGTCAGAATGGTCCCTGACACATGTTTCTGATGGGCATGGTATTGCCTGGTTCTCAGGAAATGTCTGCTTCAGAATTTTCATTTGATGCAAACAGTTTTCTAGGTACATGTATAAGATATTTATATCCATCTACCTCATTACCAAACACCCCAACTCATATCATCCTATTGTCCCCAAGTACTAACACTGGAGTGTGAAGCCCATTTCTGGTGTTCCCTGTCGTGATGTTGTTGGAATATTGCTATAAAGGCGGCGTAAAACTAAACTCACTCGCTACTAACACAGGAATAACATGTCTGTGTGTTTTTTTTTCCCTTTCATCAGAGGCCATACAAAATTATTTCATGGTCTGTGTTTCTGTACTTGAAATATACCACAAAAACACATAATTGCTTCAGGTATAAAAAAAAATTGTGAATATTTTGTAAAATAAATCAGAAAATGTAAAGTCTTCTGACCTTAAATTGTAAAATAGAATTGAATGTAAATCTAGATATAGTCCACCAACCTTAAACTGTTAAAAAGAATTGGATGCAAATATAAAAGGTTATTATTTTGGCCTGTGGGGTCTTTTCTTTCCTACTGTCACTGATGTGTGAAAAACATGTTATCTGTATATATGTTATACATGAAATGTCATTATTGTCATGAATTTGTAATTATTTATTTATTTATATTTTTTCAGAAAAGGATTTTGGTCTCAGCAGCATTAAAAGAATAAATGAGTTCTTGAAGAGCTGTGTATCAGAGTAAGCATATATTAGTCCATACTTAGAATAGCTCAAGTCACAATTTATTTCAGCATATTTGCTTTAGTTGATGGTACAGATGATGTAAGGGTCATTCATCTCTTGATCCTTTATTTGTTTGTTGTTAAACACCACAACAGCAATGTGCAATGTATGTGAATGTGGTTTTTAAGTAACTTAGTTTGGACCACACAAACCAGTGATTAACATAATAATAAGTATTATTATGTGGGAAATTGAACCTTTGCCTTCAGCGTGCCAAGTGATCACTTTAACCACTGGGCTACCCAATCGCCCCTCTATGTATATGAAGATATAGTTTACACATTGGTTTTGTAACATTTATTCAGCACCTTGACGTCCGGAGTGGAAGATGAGAAGGAAATGGACAGTAGAGACCAGTACAACTTTGGACACTCACAGCGAGGCGTGGCTCTGATTGTGTGCAATGAGAAGTTTCATCATATGCAATCCAGGGCTGGAGCAGATCTCGATGCAGAAAGTTTTTATAAAACCTTTCGGAAACTTGGATTCGAGGACATTCGCACCCGATACAATATGACCGATATGGAAATGAGAGACTGGTTCACTGCAGGTAAGCGTTCTTTCAGAAAACCTACGATCTGTTTTAATGGGTACACCTTTACTCATGTGACACACACAAGAGGTACTGAACTACTGTCTTGTACAACAGCTTACCAACATGGGAGGAAATGGCTTCGACTTGTTTGACATTACATTATCTCACTGCTCATATGAGAGGAACAGCTTATGAAAGAAAAAACACAGATATTTGCAATGGATCATATGTCCATAGCACAGCTATTGTGAAACAAACAGGATGCTATTTATTTTATTGATCCATAATTGTTAATTTTGACCTGTTGTTTTATAATTGTTAATTTGACTTATTGGGTGGTTATTTTTTATTTTTATTTACTGTTTGATAATTATAATCTTTGCTTCATTATTTGGTAACTGTCACTTATGGTAGTTAGATATTTTGTAAACACTGCGTTATTGCTTTCTAATTGTTCATTTGATTTATTGTTTTCTAATTGTTTACTTAGTTTATTGTTTTTTTTATTTTTAAATTGGTTTATTGTTTAGTAATTGTTAATGTTAAAATGCTTTTTGGCAGTTGTTGATAATGTTTGGGTGTCTGGGAGAGACTTTTATCCATTGCTATTAGTTTTGGAAAATACTTTAAGATATACCCGCCACAATACCAATACAAACAAAAATATAATTACAACTAAAATTATTTACAGTAAATATTTAACCAACATGGAATAAGGACACAAATTATGCTGAATGCTAATATTTTCCTTCTTTATATTTATATTGAACACAATACACACACAAATAAATGACCTATTTTCAATCAACTGTATTGTAGTGTTCATCAAGGATCATAGCCAGCAGGTATTGGTACAGAGCATTTATTACCGGTATGTCAAATATGGTACACCAGATTTGATTTGGACTTAAACAACTTGAAATTGGTGCCATTTGGTTTAAGACAAGCTCACATTCAGCTGATGTGATATGTATGTTACACATTCTGGTAAAAGTGCTGCTTAATCCAACATCATACTTGTACATACTTAGAGATTATCACTTGCCAGTTTATGATCAGAATTGCAGTGAGAATTAAATATCTGTTACAGTATCTCAAGAAGATCACAGTCAGCGTGACTGTCTGGCTGTTGCTATTACCTCCCATGGAGAGAAGTACACACAAGTTGATCCCAGGAGGTACAATGTCGCCATTGATCGAGATACCATCCTCGGCTCACAGGGGTCAGTTTACACAGAAGAGCTGGTGGAGAAGTTCTCTGATCGAAACTGTCGATCTTTAAAAGGGAAACCAAGAATATTTCTTTTACAAGTATGCAGTGTTTCTTCTGTGAAATTCAGCAATTCCAGAACCGTATTGTAGCATGAGTTTTAACTCCTCTCTCCTCAGTTTGAAAGTTTAGCTGTTTTGAAACTTAACAAATTTAACAATGTAACAAATGAATTTGATAGCTGATGTATAGGCAATAATATCCGCGGAATTTACAAGCAGATTCAGGGCGGTGGGGTAACCTAGTGGTTAAAGCATGCGCTTGTCACGCAGAAGGCCCGGGTTCAATTCCCCACATGGGTACAGTGTCATACATACAGACAGACATACATACAGACAGACAGACAGACAGACATACAGACAGACAGACATACATACATACATACATACATACATACATACATACATACATACATACATACATACATACATACATACATACATACATACATACATACATACATACACACAGCTGGGTGGACTGGGACTGGGTGGGTGGACTGGGACACATAGTCACAGTCCTTTGTCCAAGTTTACTGCACCCGCAACTAGGTGTTTGCACGTATTCATGTGGCCACCATCTGGTCATATACCAACGGATTCGTGGGTTCTTTAAGTGGGTACTGTACACTAGGGGTTGTGACAACACTGACAGAGAGTCTGCACACAAAGTTGACTCCAAGGTTTTTACACTAGGTCACAGTTGGGCTCGATCCCATCACCTCAAGCTAGCTGGATCACTTAGCCTGGTGCTTTTTAAGACAGTTTGCCCACCGCGCCCCCAAAGGTTGATTCACTGAACACAGGCATCTTAGCTGTCCTGACATGATTTGTTATGAGAATTCATCTGCACATACTTTGAAAACTGGGTTTGTTGTTCATTATTACGTCATCAAAATTTCCTAATATTCAATCACAAAGTGTCCTTCAATGTAAGTGATTTATACAGTCGTGTGATGTTCTGATAATGTACAGGGTAGTTAACACTGTGCAATGCCTGATGATTATGGAATGGTGATTGTCACTGGTATTTATAAAGATGTCTTCCTTGTCTAGGCCTGCAGAGGTGAGATGCTGGACCAAGGTGTAACTGTAACAGAAGACATGGATGTGGTCGATGCATTGACTGAACCAGAGTACACCATCTCCCCCACTCCCTGCTTCAAGGACTTCTGTATTGTGTATGCCACCCCTCCAGGTATGTCAGTAAACAACCAAACCTTTTAACCCTGACCAACACATACAACCCAATGTTTTCAACAACCAAACCTTTTAACCCTGACCAACACATACAGCCCAATGTTTTCAACAACCAAATCATTTAACTCTCCTACACATACAACCCAATGTTTTCAACAACCAAACCATTTAACTCTCCTACACATACAACCCAATGTTTTCAACAACCAAACCATTTAACTCTGAACAACACATACAACCCAATGTTTTCAACAACCAAACCATTTAACTCTCCTACACATACAACCCAATGTTTTCAACAACCAAACCATACAATTTAACAAACCTGACTCTCCAACACATACAACCCAATGTTTTCAACAACCAAACCATTTAACTCTCCTACACATACAACCCAATGTTTTCAACCAAACCATTTAACTCTCCTACACATACAACCCAATGTTTTCAACAACCAAACCATTTAACTCTCCTACACATACAACCCAATGTTTTCAACAACCAAACCATTTAACTCTCCTACACATACAACCCAATGTTTTCAACAACCAAACCATTTAACTCTCCTACACATACAACCCAATGTTTTCAACAACCAAACCATTTAACTCTCCTACACACATACAACCCAATGTTTTCAACAACCAAACCATTTAACTCTCCTACACATACAACCCAATGTTTTCAACAACCAAAACCATTTAACTCTCCTACACATACAACCCAATGTTTTCAACAACCAAACCATTTAACTCTCCTACACATACAACCCAATGTTTTCAACAACCAAACCATTTAACTCTCCTACACATACAACCCAATGTTTTCAACAACCAAACCTTTTAACTCTCCTACACATACAACCCAATGTTTTCAACAACCAAACCTTTTAACTCTCCTACACATACAACCCAATGTTTTCAACAACCAAACCTTTTAACTCTCCTACACATACAACCCAATGTTTTCAACAACCAAACCTTTTAACTCTCCTACACATACAACCCAATGTTTTTCAACAACCAAACCTTTTTAACTCTCCTACACATACAACCCAATGTTTTCAACAACCAAACCATTTAACTCTCCTACACATACAACCCAATGTTTTCAACAACCAAACCATTTAACTCTCCTACACATACAACCCAATGTTTTCAACAACCAAACCATTTAACTCTCCTACACATACAACCCAATGTTTTCAACAACCAAACCATTTAACTCTGCCCTACACATACAACCCAATGTTTTCAACAACCAAACCATTTAACTCTCCTACAGATACAACCCAATGTTTTCAACAACCAAACCTTTTAACTCTGACCAACACATACAACCCAATGTTTTCAACAACCAAACCATTTAACTCTCCTACACATACAACCCAATGTTTTCAACAACCAAACCATTTAACTCTCCTACACATACAACCCAATGTTTTCAACAACCAAACCATTTAACTCTCCTACACATACAACCCAATGTTTTCAACAACCAAACCATTTAACTCTCCTACACATACAACCCAATGTTTTCAACAACCAAACCATTTAACTCTCCTACACATACAACCCAATGTTTTCAACAACCAAACCATTTAACTCTGAACAACACATACAACCTAATGTTTTCAGGTTTCTACGCATTTCGCCGTCCGACCTCAGGTTCCTGGTTTGTGACAGGTTTGCGAGATGTCATTGAGAACTCTGATCTGACAAAATGCAACTTTCTCCAGCTGATGACCAAGGTCATCAACCGGGTGGCTCGAGAGTTTGAATCTCACTCACCACAACAGGCCATTGACGGCAAGAAACAGTCAGGTTGCATCTACTCCATGCTCACAAAAGACGTGTATTTTTCTCCCAAACCTTCAGGAGAGGAGCCGCTGTAGGCAACATGAATCACCACTACCATGGTAACAGCTGTAACAGCTTATATATATAGATATGTGCTACATATCTATTAATGTAATTATTTTAATTAATTTTTCATATTGTTCCCTCCATTGTTATATTGTTTGTTTATTGCTAACATCAACAAACATGCTAATGCTTACTACTGTATTTCAACGTAGTTGAGGCTGGCCAAGGATTAGGGATTCCCTGTAGTGGGTATTCATGACTCAAGCTTGATTTACACCATCCCTTCAAATGGGCGATTATGACAAACTGAACCAAGCATTAAAAGGACACATATTCTACAATAAAAAAATGTAAGATTAAATATACTTTGAATGTTAACATAGGCTTCTCAGGACAGCAATGATTTAACAGTACTTTAACCCCCTTTGAAAATACAACCATGTACAATATCAGTTACTTATTTTAATCTACCAATATTAAAAAATGATAGGTCTATTTACAAAACATATTGATGTAATATTTTTCGAATAAACCATTTCTTTTACAAAATACAATTATGAAGTAATAATTAACATTAATTAAAAGATCCTTCACTGGTTTTACACTGAAATCTTGATCCCTTGTGTTGGGAAAATCAATATCAAGTGGTTAGGTTACATGACTAGGTAGATTGCTTGTGACTGTTCAATGCTCATGATGTCAATCAGTGGATTATCTGGTCAAGACTTGATTATTTACAGATTTATGTAACATAACTGGAATATTGCTGAGAACAACATTAAAAAACAAAACAAACGAGTTAAGAGTGGTAGCAAGATTTATGACTCAGTTGGGACAAAACTGGCCCAGTGGTCTAAGGTGTTGTACTTTGAAACATTGTTGTTTTCATTGATATATTGATATATTATATAATGTATGGGTATTGTTATTGATGCATTTTTGTGAAGCTGCTGCAGCCGATGATATAATATTTTTCAAGATTTTATATTATCATGAGATGGACTATGAATAAATCAGTGTGCGTGTGTATATGTTGTTTGTATTTTGTTTATGTAATACATGTTATATTTGGGATTGCACTTTCTAAGTAAAGAAGAAGAAACACACTTTTTAGGGGTTCAGAACCAACTAGGATTCAAACCAAACTGTCACAGAGAGACCCAAAGTCAAGTATCTAACCCACTCAGACATAGAGGCTTCCGAAGAAGGAAGTCTGACAACCAGTAATCTCGATCAGGTACTGAACTAAGATTTGGTTTGATTTGGTTGTTGTTTAATGCCATGCTCAGCACAACTGCAGATAATAATCCAGTGATCAACAGCATGAGCAGCGATCTCAGCAACTGGGATAGGATGACATGTGTCAACAAAGTGAGACTGGACTAAGAAAGAGTAATCCCAAACATAACTGTAGTTGTCTTTTTCAGTGTATGCTTCAAACTGCAGCATGATTACAGGTATCTGTTGATTACCACAAAAAAACACCATTTACATATTTATATGCATGTGTTCTAGCAATTGATCAAAGCCATCTAATAAGGAGAATAGAAGACTTGTCTAAATTTTCTTTTCTTGAATGGCTCTTACTTTATTTGTCTGAGATGAATGAGTAGACTCTGTATTGGAAGAACAAGTACTATTTGCAAGTACATAATAATTCGTCAATATTTCATTTTCATCAAACCTTATCCTAGGAAGAACTTAATCAGGTATACTCAACTGATCAGCCATTGATTTTGTATTGATGACGTTGGGGGATTTTATGTTACATCACAGAACTTCAACTGTCAACTAGTAGGGGAAGTAACTCTTACATGACTAACATTTCTTCAAAATCGGTTCTTGCACAGGGGCAATTCTGAGTAATAACAGAAGGAATTTGCTTAAATCACAGGTTATCATCATCATCATTATCATTAACATTTAGAACACATAAGATGTTCGTTTGGATTGTATTTAGAAAAGGAGCGAGTACATCACCAATCTTTAGAAAAGTTGGATATTAAGACTCTGTGATTAACTAGTTTTGAAGTGAATAAACAGTACGCAGTTTTCAAATCACTTCTATAAAGAACGAAAATAAATACGAGTTTACAGTCCAAGATATGGCAGTTTTAAACAAGAAACCGCTGAATACTATCCAACGTGTTTCATTCGTATCTCCATGGAAAAACACATTTTTGAGAACCTTAATATAAGTGTGTGAGTGGAGTTTTACGCCGCTTTTAGCAGTATTCCAGCAATATCACGGCGGGGGACACCCGAAATGGGCTTCTCACATTGTGCCCATGTCGGGAATCGAACCCGGATCTTCGGCGTGACGAGCGAACGCTTTAACCACTAGGCTATCCCACTACCCCTTTTCCAGTCTAAGTAAACTTAGGCGGTAAATTCCACACGTGGTTCCATGGTGTAAAGCCTAGTTCTGGCGTCATGCAGGAAGAGAGCTGCGTAAAACCATACTCACTCATACACTCGACCTACACTGGAGATGGGTACCAGGTTGACTTGTGTATTCCAATATAGCTGTGCAGGGGGAATGTTCGGTCAATTTAAACCTATACAACTGTACCTCAATGTAGGGTATGGAAGAGACGTGAGTCAGTGAGTACGCAATACTATTACAGTTATTTGAGCAGGTCTGTCAGTAATTACTGCAATAATGTAAAAAGGAGTGATCCCATCTCAAAGTAAAGTAACAATAATATAAGAAATCAAATAAATATACCTTTGTACCAACTTTGCGGTTTACAATAGGCTTTACCTCCAAATTCTGTGACATCATTAACACCTTTACATCTTACAACCATGTCTCGTCACGCCGAAGGCCCGGGTTCGATTCCCGACATGGGCACAATGTGTTAAGCCCATTTCTGGTGTCCCCCGCCGTGATATTGCTGGAATATTGCTAAAAGCGGCGTTAAACTAAACTCAGTCAGTACAACCATGTCATGTGCCTATAATCCAATTAAACAGTTCAAAGAAATACGTTTACTTTATAGAAAAATACGTCAGGTCTTAGAGACGGAACGAAACAAATACAACACGTTTTTTCAACAAAAAATCAACATACTATCCAAGCAAACGGCACGCTCAGATCGGAGCTTTATTTACAGGTCCACTGCAACCGCTCGCACCACTGACAATTGAATTACCTCTAACCATGCAAGCATTGGTTTTAGTCGCATGCAGAACCCACGTAGTATAATTGCTTGTTCGCGGGTGAGAGATGGGGGCACCTCATCATACAAACACCTCAATGTGATTCTATAGTCCACGTAAAACCGAGGAAGATTCCAGGGATCGATATATATCGAATTTGCACTGTCCCTCGCTGTAGGTAGGGCACCTGTTAACAATACCCCTCGCTATACCACTGTGATCGGTAATTGTTTTCATGTGAAGGAATGTCTGAGAAAGGCGAGTCACTGTCAGGATCCGTTATACACGAGATAAAAGCATTCGCGCAACCCGTGGTGTATATTTGGTTTAGTAAACTAAATCGATGGTCGCATTGCATGGTAAAGTACCTTTAGAGGGTTTCTTGTCTGTTTGAATAAATCGAAATGTGGTACTTAAATATTCAGATTGTGTAAACTCGTCCCATGGGAGTTTCGAAATAATGGATAGTTGTTAACACCTGCAAAAAAATCCATTTTCTTCCAAGAGTAGCTCTGTTACAAATCAAATAGAGCAAACCACCATCAATATACGCAGTGCAGTAAATGTTCTAAAATTCTGGTTGCTATACATGAACAGAAATACTACCAATACTAAACCAGGGGGACGGTAGGGTAGAGTGTCCAGTCATGTCAATTTGCTGAGGCAGAAATTCATCCCCTCAGTATGCCAGGTAACCGTGATCATAGGTTCGAATCCAGGTTTGCCTTCTCAGCGCCATAGGGGCGGTGGGGTAGCCTAGTGGTTAAAGCTTTCGCTCGTCACACCGAGGACCGGGTTCGATTCCCCACATGGGTACAATGTATGAAAACCATTTCTGGTGTCCCCTGTCGTGATATTGCTGAACTATTGCTAAACGCGGTGTAAAACTAAACTCACTCACGCACTTAACAGTGACATTGCTATACCATTCAGCCACAGGATAATTCATGGTATTTGATTCACACTGGCAAATAATTGGCCATTTGTCATGTACCTATACCTACTTGTGTGTTATTATGGCTGCGTGTTGTATTCGTCTTATTATTCACCATAGCGACGGTGGGGTAGCCCAGTGGTTAAAGCGATCACTCGTCACGCAAAAGACCCGGGTTCGATTCTCCACATAGGTACAATGTGTGAAGTCCATTTCTGGTGATATTGCTGGAGTATTGCTAAAAGCGGCGTGAAAACATACTCACTCACTCACTATTCACCATAGAATAACGTGCGTTTTTCTCGTGATTCATGACACTATCAGACTTCGACTATGCAGCCCAACTCCCGTCTAATTGAACTCAGTGCGAACAGTATTGTGTTCCGTGGTATAGAATTGACCTTCATGTTAAAATAGTATTTAATGTTTGTAATAAAAGTGTCAGGAGTTCCATAATTTTATTTCATATGCTGGGTATACATTTCTGTGGCGAAGGCCAAGGTGCATGGCGAGCGTGACTCTGTACATGTGTTCAGCATAAGTCATTGATGTTAATGTACAGGTCCATGGCAGGTTTATAGATCTACGCAGGACTGTAACAGGTTAACACGCGGAGATATTTTCACAGTTGAAGTGACAAGGATTTCAATTTACAAGGATGCGCATCGAGCTACATGTAACCCTTCACATAGAACCTTCTCCCAACATAGTCGTTGCCGATTGCCCACTCCCACCTGTTACAAGTGTAGGTCTATATAGACCGGCGCGATGTCTGTGAGTGAGTGGGTATGGTTTCACGCCGCTTACAGCAATATTTCAGCGGGGACACATATTCACACATTGTACCCATGTGAGGAATCGAACCCGGGCTTTCAGCGTGACGAGCGAACGCTTAGACCACCAGGCTACCCCACCGCCCTCAGCGCAATATCAATTTGCAGACACAGAGGGAAAAAGACGGGCGTTAATATCATGTAACACCTGTTACACATGCAACCACCCAAGACCGTGAACTGAGCATTCCTCGAGAATCAGCGCTGTACTTGAAGAATGTTGTCAAGGGGATTGCCTCAAAGCATGGCCGGGCCGGGCCGGCCGGGCCAAGACGGGCCAACGATTTTGCTGGCTAAATTTAATTACTCCATTGTGGGCATCCCTGTTAAGGCTAACTGAGTGGCACTTTGTCCCAATGGCGCTGTTGTTTGATCATGCTGTCCATCACTGGTTTGTCTGGTCCATACTCGACTGTAATATCTATGTGTTGTAATATTGCTGACTGCGGCATCAAACACGATTAAAATATTAACTCAAATGTGATATCACAAAACAACGGTATACTTAGAAGATTGATAAGATTACACATTCAACTTGATCATGGCCGGTGGGACAACGGTAGCCTATTTTACAAGCGCTCGCTCCCAGAAATATTGCTGGAATATCGCTAAAAGCGGCGTAAAACCATACTCACTCACTCACTCACTCACCAACGCGACCATGACTTATAGTGTTGCGTTTAGTAGCTGCATTCAATGGGTTCTAACACACTCAGATGTAGTGACGAGTCGCTATACTAAACCTGTGTAATACTCATTATACATGTACTAGCAAAACAGTTTCTGTTTCAAAATAGGTTTCAATTAAATGGCAACTGACACTTGTGCTTCCTTGAGGTGTGCATTTCATGTAATAGTCACATGGAGTGAGTGAGTGAGTGGGTTTGGCTTTTAGCAATGTTCCAGCAATATCACTTGGGGGGACAGCACAAATGGGCTTCACACATTGTACCCATGTGGAGAATCGAACCCGGGTCTTCGGCGTGACGAGCGAACGCTTTAACTACTTGGCTACCCACCGCCCCAATGGTCACATGGAAATAATTCATTTAAGTTAGATGCATTCTGGGATGGCAACAGTTACAAATGACACATTTACACGGTAAACAGCTGCTTGGATGGCTGCATCATCTGCATGTTCAATATCGGACAAAAAATACGTATCATTGATATACACGGGGGGATAATTTTCGCATGTGACATTTCATTCATTAAATGGCGATTACGCCTCGAACTCACATTAACCTTTCCTGAAGACCTTTATGGAAGGAAATAAAAGTTCGTGTATTGAGATCTGTCATGTGTTTAACCTGGGAATGTTCACAGTGCGCGAGGCATGTCCTACGGGGGTCACGCCTCCAAATAGCCAGTGTCCAGTTGACGCGCTGGTGACATGTTTACACCGACAAGTCCATACTTGGACAGGAAATTGAGGAATGTGAAAGTGTGCAGAAAATAGCATTTCAAACGCCTGGCTCTCAATCACATATATTGAGCGTTTATCGATCTTGCCTATGTCTGTTCGCAGAAGATTCCTGTAGTGAATGGACTCGTCCGTTGCTGTCCTGTGTGAACTTGCCTTACCTATTGTCTTTTGTAGATGGATCACCCCGATAACCCTATGCCATCGTGGGTTTAGTTTTTCTGTGAGATGACATGGAAATGTAGAGGGTCTACGACTCAGTTTCGTGTGAAAAACGTCAAGGCGTAAATGCATTAATAATTGAACGCATTTTCAGCAGGAATCGCTCAGTGGATGTACGCGGTGTTATAACCTTCGGAAATATGCCGTAGCGGTGTCATGGTCCAAGAGTAACTACACACACCTTCAACGCTTCACTGAATTGCTTGTGGTATATTATCAACCGGGCCGAGTTTCGGCTCGGCTTTAACAGTCAATCTGGGGGCAGGGCGCAGTTCACCAACCCCAGACATGCAAAGCAACGTATGCGGGAATTGCGGGCGACCCGTATACTTTGGTAAGTGTTTTACGTTTGTTTATGTACATATATTTATACCTGTACACATATATGACAGTTAATTATCGTAGAATCGTGGTGTGTGTGTGTGTTTGAAGTGTAATAAACCCAGTTATTGATATACCCGTGTGTCAACTTCTCTACGCGAACGCCGGGTACAGGTTTCGAACAACTGTTGAATGGGCTGTTAGTGTTACTGCTGTCTGTTTTACCCGTGCGAACATCTGTCACACGTGCGTACTCACCTGTAATTAAGATCAATATCTACCTGCGCAGTTAATGTAATGACCGAGTTGAGGTGGTGATGATTATGTGGTGTATGGTATCATGAGGTGTTACATGTTTACTGTCCGAGGTGGTCGTTCCGCATGGTGTGACCAGCTGGTGACCTACGAGCAATAAACACGTGATAAATCAACCATACATAAACAGTTGGCGTTGATCGGTGCAATACCGTGCAATCGACATGCTGTCGTTATTTTCAGTTCATATATTTCTGTCATACCATGATCATCCTGGCAACATATGCTTCGACTCAGAAGTACAGCAGTATATGGGTATATTGTTTCAGATAATGTTTCAGTGGAATCATTACTGCATATTGATTATATGTCAAATCTTCCAGGAATAGCAATGAAATGGGGACGGACATCTTTTACGGGGATGAAAAGAAACTGGTTCTTCGTGTTTGTTTTGTAACTGTGGTAATTGTTGTCATGTGAAATGCTAGGTCTGACCTATATTCAGTAGTCCATAACTGCAAATCCTAAATACCTACTGTAGTACCTGTCACTCAAACTGTTTAAACAAGCTAGTCAATCAAACACATAGCAGTATGCGTCAGCTTATTAACAGTTCATCACAGCTCAGATAGGGAGGGTTTTGTTTCAATGCTATCAGGTCAACTTCGGACTCTTGGTATGTGATAATATATCACAACATAAGTATCACTTTCCAGTGTAAGATAGGACAATATAATATGTTATCACATGTTGTAAATGTCTGCCCAGTACACCCTCATACATCCTGTGTACTTAAGGATGTACTCATGGCTACAAACAGTGTGTTAACCCAATGGGGAGGTCGTTTTCAAAGAGGCAAGGTATGTGTTTGAAAACATGTGTACACAATGCGAGGCTGGTTTCAATGCTAGTCGTGACAGTTGGGTCACCACCCCTGAATAGGTTCCCTTGACATGTTTTCATTCAATATTCCTTGCATCCATATAGGGGCTGCCATTAAAAAAATGAATCGGAAGATCAGCTAACATTAAGAGATTCACGCCTCTTTCCTGCATTGTACTGCATCAAACCTTATGTAAAATTCATGAGATTATTTTTAGTAATGCGCCTCATGGCAATAAATATAAATGCCACTAAAAACAGAAATCATGCTTCCATCCACAGTCACTAGGAGTAGTATTTCCATGGCAGTATTTCCTGTTTAATGACAGCAGTTTACAATTTTTTTATGAGTACCGATATACGGCAATACCTCTGTTTACCCAGCATTGAATGGGTACCTGGTAGGATGAGATGGTCATATGACTGTTAACCCTCTAGCTCCTCACTTTCAGTATGGGTTGTGTATTTCCAAGGTGGCTGAGAATAAAAGCAAGTGCACACTTATCATGGTGATAATTTAGTAGAGCTTTGATCATACCTATGTGTGATGTGGAAATATAACACAATTTGAATGAGTGAGTGGGTGAGAGTGAGTGAATGAGCATGGTTTTTCGCTGCTTTTAGCAATATTCCAGCAATATCACGATGGGAGGACACCAGAAATGGGTTTCACACATTGTACCTATGTGGGGAATCGAACCCAGGCCTTCTGTATGATGAGTGAATGCTTTGACCACTTGGCTATTCCACTGCCCCTAGAGTGAGAGAGTAAATGAACTTGGCCTGGTTGGTGTAGAAATTCTGCCAACTTTATATTTAAAGAGTAAAAACTTCAACTTTTGGCAAAAGAACATTCTCCTACACTGCAGCATCAAAATGGAACATTCTCCTAGAATATCATAAATCTGTTTCCACTCTTTCTTCCTTTAAATCTCAACTTAAGACCCACTTATTCAGACACTACTACCTTTAAAATTATTGCCCGTTTTCTTTTAGCGCAAAGAGCACATTGATGTTGTGAATTTATGTACTCGATAAATGAATGTATTATTATAATTATTATTATTTACTGGGTAGTGAATAGACACAGAAGCAGATTCATTCTTTGCCCCATAGAAATAGTACTTTGTGCAAAGAATAGTTAGTGTTTTAAATTTCTCTCCAAACATGACTTCTGTCACGACTTTGAAGAATATTTCAACAACAGCTGTCTGGCATAGTCAAACATTTTCAGTGGAACCTAACACAGTTAATCATGCAGACTGCAGCACTTGGTTAACATGTGGCAGATGTGTTCCATACACTGCACACTTTATGGCCATTATGTATTTTTGTCATTTGTATGGCTGTGTTACACTCTGTACATGTTCCACAGTTTGGCTGCTCTCTGCCTGTTTTCATTGGTAGACCAGCTGTGCAGACAGAGGAGGAAAGGGGAAAAATTAAGCCAAACATAATATTTTCTTACCGTTGTTGTACATGTCTGATGAGAGATATAAATATCCAGACATTTCACAAAATGAGCACTGTACATCCTAGGCCAGATTTAAATTTGTTAAAATTTTATTAATTTTTTTTCTGCAAAATACATCAAACTGCAACAAATTGAATCTATTGATAAACTATTGATAGTACTGTAATGGTCATACAAACAAGGGCGGTGGGGTAGCCCAGTGGTTAAAGCGTTCGCTCGTCACGTCGAAGACCAGGGTTCGATTCCCCACATGGGTACAATGTGTGAAGCCCATTTACGGTATCCCCTGCCGTGATATTGCTGGAATATTGCTAAAAGCGGCATAAAAGCAAACTCACTCACTCACTCATACAAACAAGGTGCAAGTCTTGAAAAACAAGAAAATAGGTTTATGGTTGATGCTCCAGAGTAGGGTTGTCATGCCAACCAAAAACATGTGTACCATATTTTTTTGGAATCCTTTCAGCCAGATGAAACACCAGCTTAGATTGATAGTTTGTCCTTGAAAGAGGTAGAGACAAGTGTTGAGAATGTGTTTCAGCACAGACAAACTGTAGCGCAAATAGGGCTGCGCAACAGAGACAATGACCAGTCTTTCTATATGTGAGCGAAGAGAGCAAAGGTTGACACCGTGCTTCCCTTGCTTCGGTTCGAAAAATATTTTTCAATGTCAAAATAAAATATCGCCACCATCAAAGGTAGACACCCATTTCCTCACAGGGTTGTGCTCTCAGAATGGGGGAAATGGGTGTCTACCTGATTGTGGTGATATTTTATTTTGATATTAAAAATATTTTTCAAACTGAAGGGGGAGAAGTACGTTGCTAACCTTTGATCGCTTTGCTCGCATATAGGAAGACTGGTCATTTTTACTTTGTTGTGCAACCCTATTTACGCTACAATTTGCCTTGTGGTTTCAGTAATATTAGAGAGAGTCGGATGGCCCAGTGGTTAAAGATTCACTTATCAGGCCTTCAATTTCCATGATGGGTAGAGTGTGTGAAGTCCTTTTCTAGTGTCGCCTAGCATAATGTTACTGCAAAATTACTAAAAGCATTGAAAAATCATACTCACTCACTCTAAAAAATAAAGAAAATAAGTACATTTGAGTTACTTTTTGCCTTTGAATTTCAGTAATTGATAGGCTAATCCCATTTGATCAGTCAGGTTGTCAAAACATTTTCCCCAGTAACACCTGAGACTATCTGTAAGATCTGGTAGTACTGCTTGTTACATGTGACTATCCCTGTCAATACCACCACTGAAGTGGCACAGTGTCAACATAATGATCGATGACCTTTATCTGAGTGAGAGAGTCCCCATCCTTGTCATCACGTCATATCTAGAGGGGTAAAGTCCCAGCCAGAGAGGCTCTATCAGTCAGCAGGTTATCATGGTGGCAGGAAGTGGATGCTTCTCATGACTGTCAGGCTGATGCTGCACGGTAGTTATCTTGCTGATGGGAACATGGTGGACAGTGCAGACATATAATCATGGCAACCAGGCTTGGGTTGGGATAATGTCTTACAGCATTAAGTAGAATGAGTAAGTGAGTTTAGTTTTACGCCGCACTCAGCAATATTCCAGCTATATGACGGTGGTCTGTAAATAATCAAGTCTGGACCATACAATCCAGTGATCAACAGCATGAGCATCGATATACGCAATTGGGAACCGAAGACAGCGAGCCTGACCAACCGATCGCATTAGTCGCCTCTTACGACAAGCATGGGTTACTGAATATCAATATTCTAACCCTGACCTTCACGGGTACATTAAGTAGAAAGTTTTTCTGTGTGAAAACAGTTTTTAAAGGAGTGATGCATTCTTTTGAAGCCGAACTGTCATGTATCATGTATGCTGTTTGAAGAAAATACTCATTAGTCGATCAGGTAGATTGATGCTCATGATGTCAGTCACTGGTTTGTCCAGACTTGATTGTTTACATACAGCCACCATATAGCTGGTGAAACAACAAACAGACAAACAAGTACTCAACTGTCACAAAAGATAATCAGGAAGAAGGCACCGAAATGACTTTCTGTTCTCATGAGATGGTTTGCATGCGGGTTAAGTGATGATGTTTAGGTCAGTACCATGTATCTCATACAGGTAGTGTGTATTCATAAACCTATTGGATATCCTGATAATGTCATTGTAACCCAAATGCATAGATTGATGCTCATAATGTCTATCACTGGATTGTCTGGTTCAGACTCCTTTATCGGGGCAGTGGGGTAGCCTGGTGGTTAAAGCGTTTGCTTGTCACGCCGAAGACCTGGGTTCGATTCCCTACATGGGTACAATGTGTGCAGCCCATTTCTGGTATCCCCCACCGTGACATTGCTGGAATGTTGCTAAAAGCGGGGTAAACCGTACTTGCTGACTCACTTGGACTCCTT